ACAGTAACACAAAAAAGACTAAAGTTACAAGCCTGGTGGCCAGGATATTCAAAAGACATAGAGGAATACGTTAAGAGATGCCCAAAATGTATGGAAATGAAAAACATCAAGCAAGCAAAATTTCACTCATGGCCCAAGGAAGCAGAGCCATAGATTAGTCCACATGGATCACGCATATGTCAAAGATTGGGGATTGTTCTTAATATTAGTGGACTCGTATTCAGGATAGCCAGAGGTTATCAAAGTAAAAGACAGAAAAGCCTCCACAATAAAGCAAGTACTAAGAACTATATTCTCAAAAAATGGCATACCCCAGACAATAGTAACCAACAATGCACCCAAATTTTGCGATGAGAACTTATGTGCCTGGTTAAAATAGATTGGATGCATCCCATACAAGACACCACCGTATCACCCACAATCTAATGGCATTGTAGAAAGAATGGTAAAAATGGGATTAAAATCATTCTCACCATTTAATGAAAGCATAGAAGCTTATCTACCAAAAATACTCCTCTGTTACAGATCCATTTCACATGTGGAAAGAAAATCAGAGCCCCTATAACTGTCCTTTGCAACAAAAAAAAAAAAAAAGGTATGGTATAGAAAAAGTAAAGAGGCTGATCCAGAAGGAAATTTCCTGATAGAAAAAGGGACAAAATATACTGACACATGCAGATCAGTTCAGAAGCAGAAATGAACTGGATGATGTAGAAATGGAAGATCAAAAACAAGAAGAGACAGAAAGTTACAAAAGTGGAACAGAGCAGGAAATGGAAGAAAGTGAGAATGAAAAGAATGACGAGTATGAAGAAGAAAACCAAGACTGAGATCACTATTAAAAAAAAAAACAAGACAACACAGTACAAAAATAATCGGGAATAGTAAAAGAAAAAACAAGGGTATACAGCCTCTCCAATTCAGGGAGGGGTAGTATTGTAGGCAAATTAGATAAACAAGTATAAATAGAGAACAACTGGCAAACATAGGGAAGCCTAGCGAACCTGTTTGCTAAATGTAACGCAGAGAACTCTACTACGACTGCTACTCGACAGATATGCAAAACATAACATTGGTCTTTCCTCTTATTAATAAAATAAACTTTTTCACAATAAAACTTTGTTTTTATTAAGTTTGGGGCCTTTTTTCATTATGCTATGCTGTTTTATTCAGTGAATTATTGAACATGTCTACCTTACAGTAGCTAAAATTCAGGTATGTGCTCTTAGTTGGGTACTATGATGATTAGATGTCTGAGTGATATAACAGCAGAACTGGTACAACAGGCTGACTGGGTTAAGAAGATCCTCAAAATTTCTCTTGTTTGTTTAATGAAATCATATTGTTCATTTGACTGCTCAATTGTGCATATCCTTTCATCTTATAAATTTTAACATCCTTTATGCATCTAAATTTGCAAGAAAGAACATTAAAAAAAAGAAAGAAAAAAAACATTGATCTGCTATTTCATTATAAACCGGTAGTAAATTAAAAACAATCTTTCAAGTCACATGAAAAATTTTTAAAAATTGTTATTATTGTTTTTGTTAATATTTACAACTTATGAAGCTAACATTTTATTTGCTCAAGGAAATGTTTGCTTTCTACTATTTGTTGTAGCCACTTTTTGTAATTGCATTATAACTAAATTGCTAGACTGTAAAATTACTATTTCCTTCCATGTCTGTTTTGGCGACTTTCCAATTTATGTAATATTTTCTCAATTTTTTTACTTTCTGTATGTCAAGGTCATGTTGGATTGGATGTCTTTTACTTCTATGTCCTTTTCACCTCTTCTTATTTTAAAGATTAAATCTTAATTAAAAAAAAATATATATCAAACATCAGTGACTTTGAAATGTGAGCCTCAATAAATGTACACTACTGATTGAATTTTGGAAATTTTATAGTTACTTGTTGAAAGACACATTTAGTGTATTCTAAAAGCAAAAGCTCAAATTAATTATAATGTTAGTAATGTCCAGTAGGGAGAGATATGTATGTATGTATGTATGTGTGTGTGTGTGTGTGTGTGTGTATATATATATATATATATATATATATATATATATATATAAACACAGGGATGAGTTTAGACTGCAGCACCATAGTAAAATGCTGCGATGCTCATGTTTAATGCCGAGGTGCCCTTAAAAAAACAAGCCACGTTCACGGCAATTTTTGCCTTCAACTCCAAAAAATTTTATTTCCCCAAGAAAAAATATTTGACTAGAGCCCTATGCAGATATTTTTTCAAAGAAAAGTGGTAGATGAATTTTAACAAATGTTACAAGTTTATTTCAATCTTGCAACATTTATATCTACCGGAAATGAAATGAACATCATTTTTATATATATATATATATATATCTCTTACTTATTATAAAACGCAGATTGTGTGTGTGTGTCTGTACGTTTATATATTGGATCGGATTTCCTACATTTTTCAACTGATTTCAACAAAAACTTCACAGTACTGTGTAAAATTACCTTGCGGTGGTTCTGACAGCGCCAAAAATTGGAAAAACACAATTCTTTTTGCACAAAATCAATTTGAAAACATGATAAAACACGACTGTCGCCAGAATGAAAGGGGGGCAACTCATATCGTGTTATACTTATTATAAAACTCAAGTTGTTTGTGTATTTGTGTGTGTGTTCGTTTATATATGGGATCGGATTTCCTACATTTTTCAACCGATTTCAACAAAACTTCACTTTTTTTGGCAGGTAGTGTTTCTTATTGTCTTGCACACTTTTTTCTTTATTTTTACATTCAGAATGCTTTAAAAATTCCATTTACAAGACAATTGTTTATAATAAAATTCTATTCAATCGATAGACTCATAACGATTGAAAACAATGTTTTTGTTCGAGTTTGGGTTTGACCAATTCGTAAAAAAAAACTAATTAAGACATGCGTGTCCGTCAACCTTAAACAATAATCTTTGTCAATTTTATTTTTCAGTCTTTATGATGGTCGATACTTGATCTATCTCTTACTGTTACATCCCCAGGCAACGCCGGGCTCTACTGCTAGTATAAAATATACACACACACACACACACACACTACATAGTAATAATACATTTTATTTTAAAAAGTCAGAGACCAGCTTGACATTATATTGTAAACAGGACCCCTTATCTAAAATAATAGGGAATTAATGTTTTTTGATTTTAACAAATTACCTGAGTAGAGAAAGTTCTTCTGAATGCTAGGCACCAAAAATTAGTTGTGAAAATATTTTTATCTATAAGAAATTACTAATTAACATTCATGTCAGAAAGTAAAGGATAATTTTGACATTTTTTTCAATAGCTATTTTGATTTTATACTGAAAAAGCTTTATATTTTTATACAGTTATACCATAATAATAATAATAATAATAATAATGTAATGTTGACTTTTCCTTTTTTTTTTTTTTTTTTTTTTTTTTTTTTGAAAATGTTCCACTGCAACATATCATTAGTCATCATAATCTGTTATTTATCAATAAAAATATTTGATTTTAGAGCTTTTTGTTTATTTTTATCAATTTTTTACATTATAAAAAAAAAAAAAACTCAAAAATGTAAATTCTAAAAAAATTGCTGTGGTGCTCTCATTTTAAAGGGTCCACCAAGGCAAATTTTGCCTGCCCCTATCTTAGGCTTAACTCATCTCTATATATATATATATATATATATATATATATATATATATTCACTTCTGAATTCAATCAGCCTAATTTATTTTAAATTCCAAGAGGTTTAATTGTCAATATTCTTATAGTTCTTGCATTATTTTGAACTATTGTTCTTGTCTTGGTTGATATAGATGTTATAAACATGTTTCAGCCAAGTACCTTCTGGTCATCATCAGGTGTCCATTGATTAGCTAATGTAAGGTATCTGTTGATTATTGTGACATTTTGTCCTTGTGATGTTGGTTATTGTTTGTTGGTGCATCACTAGATTTTTTTTTTTTTTTTTTTTTTTTTTTTACATTTATGATGGTGAGTTTGCACTGCTTTTCACAATGTAGTATTTAATTTCAGAGATGAGAATAATACTTCAAAATAATACAGGTATATTGACAATTACTCAAATATCAAAAAAAATAATCTAACATTATATATAAAAGGCTCTAAAAACACTAATGACCTTTGGGGTTGTGGCATAGTGGATATAGGAGTTGATTATACATGTGTTACTGCCATCTTGTGTTTTATGGCCCATATCAAATTGAAACCTCAGTTCTTAGCCAATCACCAAAGTTAAGCAGCATCTAGCTTGATCAGTACTTAGATGGGTGACAGCTTGGGAATATCAGGAATAACATTTGATTTTCTTACAAGGGTATGAGTGACTCTTCTCTCTTCATAGGTTGGATGTTTATATAACTTCCTGTTATATATGTGTGTATCCTAAGTTAATCTGGGTTCACTTCCTTGTTTATGTTGGTGCACCCACTGCTATCACCCTCAAGGCCTGATTCTGCACTTGTTGCTTTTGAGATCAGCTTTCTAGGTCAACCTTTGGGTCTTGTAGGGCTTTTAACTTTCTGAAGAGACACCAAGTATAAAAACTTACTTTGGTATCTCTTCAAGTGAACCTAGTACATATTGTGGTCACCACAGATCAACTCTTCTTAAATCAAAACTTCATGATGTGCATTAAATTCAATTAGGGCCTCTGGTATTTCCTGGTCTGAATCACAGATGACAATCACTTCATGAAAGAGATAGCTTAAGTAATGTTGTTGTTGTTTTTTGTTTTTGTTTTTTTTTTTAGTACATTATGGATGTTAACTAGATTAACTCTTATCAAACCTTATCTCTACTGGTAACAATTATTTATTAATTCAACAAGTATTTAAAAAGTGATTTGATTGTACAATTTTATATGAAATAGCTGCTTGTGCTTTCAGATAATTTTTCCTAAGATAATTTAATACAAATATATTCTTAAAACAAATGACTTGCTATTTTTATTTTTTTATTTATTTTTTTTTTCAGTTCAACAGCTGGAACTGCAGAAAAGAAATGCTGATGACCCTGAACAGTTGCGAGGTCAAATTATCATCAGTCTAATATCTCGTGACAAAGGCAACTCTTTAGCAACCATCACTGATACTCCCTCAATTACAAATGATGCCAATGAACTTCCTGAAGGGTAAGGATTTTCCTTTTTGATTTCACTGCTTTTTGACAAACTACAATGTCATGTCTACACAATGCATTGATCTAAACAAATAAGTTCTGCATCTAAAGCCTTTCTCGCTATTGTTCAATGAATGTTTGGAGTTTTGTTTTGTCGTAATTTTGTTTGGACATAAGCTTGAATTGTAACTCGTTTGTTGTATTAGTTTCTGTTGTGCAAACATTAGATTGGTACGTGATTGTGTAATGTTCAGTGTTTACATGTAGCCTGTTATTGTCACTAAAATATGTTTTCTTCCCTCTTAAAAGTGCATTGCTCTTTAGTATGTTCGTATTTAGTATGTAACTATTTTCAAACAATGTCAATATTTTGTCCTCTTATTAAATGTCCTTTTTTTTTTTTTTTTTTTTTTTTTTTTAATCCAATTGTCACTTAGAGGATCCTGCTCAAATCTTGTCTCTTGTCTACAGCAGTAAATATGATCAAGTATCTGATTATATAGTTTTTTTGGTTTTCTTTTTTTTTTCCTTTTAATTCATTTGTCAGATTTTCGTCATTTTGTGTGATGAGCATTTCTAGAAGAGGTATATTCATTGCTTAGATAATGAGCTTCAGTTTTTGGATCAGGATGAATGGATTTTATTCAAAGTATTAGCTTCCTTACCAACTTGTAGAAATGATTTTGATATCAGTTCTCTGGACTAAATAGTATTGGTGGTTGAAAGCAGTTATGAGTCACAACAGTACATTAAGGACAAAATGAAGACAAGGTGCAAATTTGAAAAAAGAAAAAAAAGGCACATTACATGTCAAGAAATGAAACTGTTAATGTTCTAAATGTGTATGCAGTGTGAAATGTATGAGTAGAGAAAGCAAATTGTAAATATTTTGTCTTTATGCTACATGTTCAATTGGAATTCATTCATTCATTTGCCAACAAAATAATGTCAACTGAAAAGAATTTATTACTATCATTTTTGAAGGATACACACTGATGTAATAACTTTAAAATAATAATGTCATATGGTTTACTTTCAAGCACTGTCGTCTGTTGCTATTATAGAAAAACTTCTGCTCTTACAGACTCGACAAGTCAGATTAGGAAAATCAGTATTTATGTATGACCAGATACACACACACACACACACACACACACACACACACGTATGAACAGCTATGACATTTTGACAAGACAGAAACTCTCCTATATTTAACTGAGGCTCAGATTTTTTATAATGAGAAAAAAAACTTCAAAATTTCAATTGCTGTTTGTTTCAACTGCAATTGTTAAGAGCTAAGAAAAGTAAGTGAAATTCTGTTTAATAATCTTGTCTTGTTTCGCTGCTTCAGCTGGGAGGAAAGGAGGACTGCAAATGGTAGAATCCACTATGTGAACCATATTACCAGAACTACTCAATGGGAACGCCCTACCAGGTAATAGATTCCAAAAACAGATTTTCTTTTCAGTTTATAGAAAATTTAACAGGCAACTTATGTAAAATAAATAAATAAATAAATAAATAGACAAAAATTCAACTTGATTTAATTCAGGCATTGATAAAATAAGTCTTTTAGAAAATTTAAAAACTCAAAACAGTAGATGCAAATAATAGTATTGTAATTTTAAATACCATCATTAATAAAATTAAGAGAAATTTAGACTGTAAAATGAAATTTTTTTTTAATAATTTGATAATGCCTACAATTGTATATTTTCAACATCACAGTTATTTTGGCATAAAGTTGGTAAAGATAACTTTCCAATCTTGTTACCATGTATCTACAATTCCTCCTCTCCACTTTTTTTTTTTTTTACACAACCATATCTTGTCAGTACACCTGATAATTTCCCTTTTGTTCTTGTCAGCCTAATTGAGGTAGCAATGTGGGTAATAATTGTGTAATTTTAGTATTGCGTAATTAGATTCTCACACTTTACATGAATTTAGTTTTGCTCCCTTATTTTATCATCTAAAATGTTCTGAACTTTTGACTTGTTTTATGGCAGTCTATGGATGCTCAGCTTCAGTTTTCTGCTGTCAATCTGCTTTGGACTTTGTAAAACAAAAATAAACTCCCCCCTCCCTTTTTTATGGCTTAAAATCCTTGAAAGTCAAAATTATCTTTTTCCTTTTGTCTTCATTGCTTTCATTATTCAATTAAATTTGCTTTTGCTTGTGTGTCTGTTTAATCTAACATTCTAAGTTATGTCTTGCTATACTTGTTACTTTTATTTATTTTCATATTTATAATATTAGGATAGCATGAGAGCCAATGTTTTGGTTGATTTCAATGAATGATACTCAGACAGGGAAGGGATGACTTTTACAATATAAAGACAAAAATTATCTTTTTATGATTGATTTTTAGGGAATCTTTTTGAAATAGTCTAAGAAAATGTTGGAAAGCATCTTTAATGTATGGATTATCAAACACTCTCGAAAGCCTTTTTTATTTTTTTTATTTTTTTTTTATTTTTTTTTTAATTTTAAGTGAGATTTGCTTAATCATTGATATTAATTTCTACTTTATAGTGATAAAGCAAATAATAAAAGCATCTATAGAAAATATACAGAAAATCTATGAAGAAACCCTGAGTCTGTTGTTAATATTTCAAAACTTAATGTTTACCTATATTAAGAAAAAAACAAAAAAAACAGTTAGAAAGAGAAGAAAATCACTTCAATAACATTAGTGCTTAAAAGTGAAATTTGATGACTAAATACAAAAATTTTTTTTTTTTTTTTTTTTTTTTTTTTTGAGCCAAGCTTTGAAGACTTGCTATGTATGCTGTTTAATGAAAATTAAGGGCGGAGGAGTATTTTCAATGGTCAGGAATAATGCAAGTTTTACTGATAGCACAAAGTTTTTAATCCTCCCTGCCCCTTCGATGGGGACACAGTTTTTTTAAAACCTTTTCAGTTAAATTCATTCGCCTGAATTCTGTTTGGATTTGCGGAGCCAATTTCCTTAACTTTGCTGAACCCTTTTTGCCACTGACTCAATTTATAATACATACATTAAATGTCTCACTTTTAACAGCCAAGCAATAGATATCCTGTAGCAATTATTATTAAACTATAAAAAAAAACAGCTGATCATATTTTAAACATATGAAATATAAATTATGAAAATGTAAAATTCTTGGCTTATGAACTTTTTTTTTTAGTTTATAATTACATGAAGAATCTAACATTAATGAAAGACTAGAGAATTTGTAGCAATTGTTTATGAAAGTTTAAAACAGTCTTTGGCTGGAAATTTCAATGGCTGTTACTTGAATTGTCTGTTCATTAGTTACTATTGATTTTTGAAAATGGAATTTTTATTTATTTACTATTTTTTTAGGTTTCTGGTTGGAAGATGGTAATCAATATTTCACTAATGAAATCATTGAATTCATGTTCATTTTACTTAGAAATTGTCATTACTCAAAGAATCGATCAATACATTTTAGCTAGCAGGCTCTCTATTCCTCTTGGCTCCCCACTCCTTTGCCTGCCAATTCCACAGAGATTCAAGTGAAGATTCAATGTTAGTATAAATTTTAAAAAAACAACAAAAAAAACAAAACAGATTTCACTAAAAAGTGAAAAGGTGGTGGTTTAGTTGGAAGAGGTGGGGGAATACAAAAATGCAGCATATGAGGAAGGTTAGGAAACCCATCAGCCAAAATGTAGTGACTGAAACATTTGTGTTGTAAAGATACTAATTCACAGAGTTCATTGCATGATAACATGATAGAAACTAACATACAAGAAATTTTCACCTGTAAAGATGTGTTGCTTTTCTTGATACTGCTTTACTTGGATTCTTGCATGGTGGGGAAGTACATTACTTCTTTACTGACATGTCACCTACTCTCAATATGTTGATCAAAGCTGGAAATTGTTTTTCTTTTTAGCAGTTGAAAAAGAAAGACCTTTAACCAATAGGTAAACCAAACCTGACAAATGCAAGCATGTTCCATCTTTTCATACAATCACTTTAAACTGTAGCACACTGCAGGTAGTTTAATTTGCCAGGCAAAAGGTTTACCCTGCAAGCCAATAGTGTTTTTCTATTTCACTGTTATATTGACATGTGCTGTGGCAGGAGTGTAGATGTGCAGTTAAAATCATTAATTAAATTATATTTGAAAGAAGTCAAAAGCACAATAAGTATACATATCAAAATTAAAACCCCTTTGAATTCATTATACAAATATTTCATTGTTATAATAAATAAATGGATACATAATATATAAAGTGTGTGTGGTGTGCAAAATGGGATCACGCCACATGTCCATAAATGGTGTGATTTGTCGATGATATTTTGAAGTCATCCAAAGTTGATTTTGGTAATGATGCTGCAATCCTTCATTGTGTATGTGTATTGACTTAGTAGTGGCGACATGTAGCTCTGACTGAACATTATTTTTATTACATGGACTTCAATTAAAATAAACAAATTTTTAATTAAGAAGCAAAAATGAAGACATTCTCAATGTCATATTTGTGTGAAACAAACTTTTCTGCAATAAACAATATTAAAAACCTTTAATGTAGCACATTATAGGCAAACCATCATCCAGAAAGTCATGCTGTTCATTATCAGATATGATTCTCATTCATTTGTATTTTTAGCAGTTAAATGTGTTGTCCATTGTTGGCTTGGGCATAAAAGACTTTTGACTTGTAAAATATTTAAAAATTCTCTTGGATAGAAAAGTGTTTTAGATTTTCATTAAATCTGCAATGACTAATAGAACACTCTTGAAATTACAAATGTGTGTTTTGCTTCTCTCAAATTCTTTTCTTTTTTTATAAATGAAAAGCCTTTTTTACTTGCAGTTTGTTCAGCTATTTATATTTTAGCATCTCTTATTTTAATAATCATTTGAAAATCTTTATGTTCAAGGAAACTTTTCAAGAAACTACTTTATAAAACAGAATAAAATTGTTTTGAACTCATCAAATATTTCGATTAAACTTTTAGTCACCTTTGAAGCAACAACAAATTGCAATATTTTTCATTTTGCATTTCTTCATTTATTCTAAATGGCTTTTCTATCTTGTACATAAATTCTTGTCTGATTTCGATTTTCCCCAAATAATCACAGATCTGTGTGCGCATGCATGCACAGTGCACACCCTTCCTTTCAAAGGGAAATAACTCTTAGAATTAAAATAGAACCATTGAAAAGCTTTGTCATTTTTTATTAATGTTTGTTTGTTTCTGTGCATTTTAGACCTGCATCAGAAAGCCCATCCAATCGTTTCTCAACTGCTGTGATCCCTGATGCCCTCCCTGTGGAAGACGACGTTGGTAATGGTAGTTCGGCCAACAATAGTAATAATAAAAACAATAACAGCAGAAGCAGTAACAATAGCAGTATCGGTGGTAGTGGTAGCAGCAATATCAACCATATTAATCATGGCACAACAGCAACAACAACAGGCAGTGGAAGCAACAGTGGTAACAACAACAACAATAGCAGCAGCAATAACAGTTCGGGTATGTTCTCCAGGAGACGGTCAACGCGGCACCGAAATTACTTGAATAGATCCCAGCTTCATAATGCTGTCGAACTGCCTGGAGGATATGGTTAGTACACCACTTGTACTACTATTACTATTTAATCCTAAAGTTGTAAGCCAAATTAGATACACTCACTCCTTAGACTGAAGAGTGCACACAAAGACACACACGCTCGCACACACACACACACACACACACACATGTACTTAGACACTCGTTCGGGTCTTTCATTTGACTTGCATAAGTTTTGTGAACATCATGAATTCAGGTCTAATATTAATTTAGTTGGCTTGTTGTATAGCCAACTTTGTTCTTGTTTGTTAAGGGCTCAATAAAGAGTTCTTGTTAATCTCACTCTAGTTCAATTTGGCAAATTATGTTCTGTTGGTGAAACCACTTGTTGTTGTGGTTCTTACCTTCACAAGTAATGCACTAACAACTGACAGGCAATTCAAACTTAAATCTCTTCAAGTCTCTTTCTCTCACCCCCCCTTTCTTGTTCATGCTATTGTTATATGTACAAACACACTTTTTTTGCTGGTACTAATGAATCATTTACTTTTGACTTGTATTTGACTGGCTTATTCATGGATTATTTTAGTTTAAAATTTTTTTTTGTAATTCAATGATTGAACTCTTATATAATTTGAATATTACTATGTTTTTGTAAAGATCAAATTGTTTGAATCTAGATTTATCTTTCTTTTTTTTTTTTTCTTTTTGTACTGATGAATTACAAAGATTTTTTTTTTTTCATAAAGATGTTTACAAATTTGATGTTTTATGCAAAGCAAAATTTCTTTTATGTCTAATTTTAACAATTGTCAAGAGAAAATACCGAGTTGATTTTGATTTTTTTTTTTTTTTTTTTTTTTAGGTTTATTGATATATAATATTTATTCTTAAGATAAAATATTGCCCCTCCCTTCCCCACTCTTCTTTTCTTTCTTTACTGCTGAAAAAAAAAATTTTGGCATGAAAAATTAATTCCAGCTGAATAGAAGATTCGCATTAATTTCTTTGCTTTTTTTTTTTTTTTCCTGTTTTTTAAATATTTATATTTAAAGAATTACATGACAGAAAATCTTATACATATTTAAATAATTTTTAAGTAAAATTAAATGGGTACCTTTTTTAAAGTTGATAAGTTTGCAAACTGTAGGAAATTCTTTTAATTCCTCCAGCAGAGTATATTTTAGAACATTGAACCCTGAGATCACTTGCTGATACTAAATCTCTGAATATTTTTTATAAATATCACTATTTAGCAAATATATGTATAATAGATTATAATATATAAATTTGTCGGTAAAGAGCAACTAGTACAAATTTGCTCATATGAACAACCTTATTTTACTTAAGCGATAAGCTGTATGGTTCTTTTTTGCTGATTAGAAACATTATACTATCCAAATGAGGTTAAATAGGTTAACAGGATGATGGTGGATTTTACTTTGTACATAGATATTTCCACTCCCTCATGTTCTGTGTTTTTTTAATGATGACAACTCCTGTGCTATGCTTAATAGACAAGTAGGCCTGGAATTCTTTTCTTTCAGAAAATTCTTTTAAATTCTACAGCTTCAATCTGCTTGAATATTTACGCTCGACCAAAATTTTGTTTTCAGATTAATCTTAGTTGTCAATGCGTTTTTCAGAAAGAAAAGTTTTAGTCAGATTTTATTTTCAAATGAAGCTAAAATCTGATTTTTTTTTTTTTTTTTTTCTTTCCTCCCCCTCCTTCCCTCCTCCTCTTCCCCTTCCTCGCCCCCCCCCCCCAAGTCTCCCAGCATTTAGTTCTGCTTGCTTTTCTTGACTCTTGTTGCTATTTTTCTTGTTGTTTCTTTTGTTACTGTATACCCCCTTCCCCATCCCTTTATTTTTAATATTTCAGAGCAACGAACTACGCAACAAGGCCAAGTCTACTTCTTGCATACTCGCACAGGAGTCAGCACCTGGCATGATCCCAGGGTCCCCAGGTAAATCTGAATTTCTTTTATCCTCTCCCTTGTGCATGTGTGAGTGAGAGAGGCCAAAAATGATATAACTAGATAACTTGACTTTCCGGGGTCATTAATACTTTTTCCCTTTTTAAAGCTTTTCGCAGTAAACAATTTGAAAATGTATTTTCTTGCTTGTTATTAGTTCAAGAACATAATGCTTGAAATAGAAAATGAATCAACTCTGTTAATGTAATTTTCTTTGTGAACGAGAATTTTTGGGCTAATCCTGAAAAGGGAAATTACCGACTGTTAATGATTTTTAATGGTGACAATCATGGGCAGCGGTGGTGGTGGTGGTGGCAGCTGTGATAGTGGGGGGGGGGCACATTCACAGCATTCTTTTCTCTCCTCCAATTTAACTTGACTTAATTGTTTTCCCTCTTTTAATTAATTTTTTTTATATTCTTTACTTGGGTTTGTTTTTAAGATACGTTTTATTGTCACTAATTATTAGATAATCTTTGCTATCTTTTACCTTCAGTTAATTTCTACTTTAAATAAACAGGTAATGTTTGAGACCTTAAGATGAATGAAGTTTATTTGCTAAATTAAATCAAAACTATTTTTAGCTGTAACAAATATTTGCCAAGTTAAAACTTCAAATACAAAAAGTTGGTATGAAATAATAATAATAATGAATGTTGTCATTTATTTTTTCTTCAGAGATTTGACAAATGTGTCTGAAGATGATCTTGGTCCTTTACCTCAAGGTTGGGAAATCAGATACACTGGGACAGGTCGAATGTATTTTGTCAATCACATCAACAGGACAACACAATTCACTGACCCTCGACTTTCAGCTAATATTGGATTAATTCAACAAAAAATGTATGTTACTTTTTCTCTGTCACTGTTTTTGTAATATGTACATTTTTTCCAGGAAAGCAAAATATTTATTAACATTTTAGATTTGAAGTTTTTATATATTTACTAAAACTTTGATATAAAAGTTTTGAAATTTTATTTTAAAGAATTCAACAATATGGTAATGCAGTTTAAAAAACAAAAAAAAAACTATTCATTTCAGTGAGGTGTTTTTAGCCCGAGAATCATTAAAATGAGAAGTAGCTGAGCATGTGTGGAAGGAGTGGAGCACACTGACCTCTATAAAAGTCAAAATAATAGGCATTTAAAAGTGTTGGCAAATAGCATGGTTGAAAGAATCTACACATCTGCTATGGCCAGATCATTCGATCAGCAGATATCAGCAATATATGGGGACATAGCTGGAAGGGCCCACATTCAATGTGCAATTCAGAAGATAATTCCCATAGCTTGCAGACACTGGATGTAATATGTCTAAAAAGTAATTTACACAAAGTTTGACACTTTAAAATTACAACAGACACATGAGAAAGGCCAAATAACTGAAATGTTGTAATGTAAACAGATGAGGAAATTTGTTGAAATGAAAAAAATACTATGGCTTTGTCCAAATTGTATATTTTAAGGACGATTGATTGTTTTTATAGTTCTTCATAATCTTTTCTTTTTTTTTTTTTTTTTTCTCTCATCTTTATCCATTTTTTTTCCCCATTTAGTTCTTAAACAGCAGAAATAGGAGGATTGTTCAGTTATTGAATTCTACTCCTATAAATTAGGTTCATTATTTAAAAATCAATTTTCATACAAATTCTGAAAAATATAACGATGTAGTTCATTAAACCTATAAAACAAATTGTGATCTTCTTGTATAGATTGAATTTGTATTTATTTTGCTAAACTTTAACAACTTCTTCTCTTTCAGGCAAAATGCAGATAAAGAGAATAGTGTGCCTGTGCCTTTGCCAAAGTATAAACGAGACCTTGTACAAAAATTGAAAGAGTTAAGGCGACAATTAAATGACCTGCAGCCCCAGGCTGGTCACTGTCGACTGGAAGTATCACGTGAGGAAATATTCGAGGTAAATGGAGTTATTTAAAAGTTTTTTTTGTTTTTTTTTGCATTGATAAAAGTATATTTAATCAAATATTAAATTTCCTTATCTAACTGTTACCTTGAAGTCCTTTGTTTTATAAAATATTAATGATTACAATAAAAAAATGATTCTGTTGCACCTCAAGAAAAAAAAAACTAAACTAATTGGGACATCATAAATGTTATAATCTAAATTGAAATGGAATTTTTATCTAATTTTATCCTGAAATCATTTCTGGTTAACTATTTTTGCATTGGTCTTGTAGGATTCTTATCGGCAAGTCATGAAGATGAGAGCCAAAGATCTGAGAAAACGGTTAATGGTAAAGTTCCGTGGTGAAGAAGGTCTAGACTATGGTGGAGTAGCAAGGTGTATAGAATTCTTTTTCTTCATTTCTCTCTCTCCTGTCCTGTCTCGTTAACCTTCTTGCTAATTTCTGTTTTGAGATTTTCAAGAAATGTTTGATAATCAAATAACTTAAAATAGTATATATATATATATATAAAATTGCTTTGTAATAAAGATTAAGAAAATATATTGATTCCTGAAGATGTAAGATAAATGAAACTAGAGTAATTCAGAATTCTCAGTGATTCTGATGAAATAAAGATCAATCATGACTCGAGAATTTTCTGTGAAAGATTCAAGTTTCTCTTCATCATAAGTTTTAATATTTGACTTGAGTTGATTGGTTCCACCTGAAAATGTTTTTCATTGTTTTTCATTAAGATTCTTAAATGTTTTTAATTTATTTTTTGTGAAAACTGTTTTTTATTTTCTTTGTATTTTAAACCAAATGCAAGCTACTAGCTAAATTGCATTTATTGGTCTTTTTATGAAATCTTTGACTGTGTTTCTAAAAGCTTTGAGATCTTCAATTGTTCTTAATCTAATCTTATTTTCTTTCAGAGAATGGTTATATCTTTTATCACATGAAATGCTGAATCCATCCTATGGACTATTCCAGTACTCTCGTGATGATATCTATACCCTGCAAATAAATCCGGATTCAGGTGTCAATCCAGTAAGTTTTAGAACTCCACTTGCTAATTAAATGTTATGACTTCATATGTCTTGAGCTGATTATATTTTCATTGGGTTTAAATGCACAACAGGTGTTTGAAATAATCGGATATGATAGCTGCTGATATCTTTCTTTTTCAGGAGCACTTGTCTTACTTTCATTTTGTGGGTAGAATCATTGGTATGGCTATCTTCCATGGCCATTATATTGATGGTGGCTTTACCATGCCATTCTATAAACAACTGTTGGGCAAACCAGTCACTTTAGATGACTTAGAGAGTGTTGATCCTGAATTACACAGAAGTTTGGTCTGGATATTGTAAGTGTATTCTTTAACTTAAAACTTAACAAAATTCAAGTTGTTTTCCATTTCATGCATTCAGAACTTTATGAAAACTTTTATAATGCCGTTGAAACTCAGCGTGAAAATGAAAAATCCTTTAGAGTAGGGTATTGCTGTTTCTAATTGTTTCCTTTTCCTTGCAGTTGACTCGTTTCTCTCACCTACTCCATGCCTTACACACTTAAAAAATCATCTGCGCAATCTTTTATTGGAAAGAAATAAGTGAGGTTTAAATGAAGAGAAAACTTTCCAAATTAAGTTTTTGTTTTTACTTTGTCCTCCCTTGTAAAATCAATGTTTGCTTATTACTTTTTATAATGTATTGTGTTGGCCTAAAATTTTGTTCTGTTTTTGACATGAGAGGGCATCGCAAGTGTTTAGCTCTAACTTCATTCAAAAATTTTTTTTTTTTATATTTATTTATTCTATGGTAATAGTTTATAAAGAAAGTACTGTGAATGGTAAGCATGTCAAAAACAATTTGTGCTGGAGCTCTGACTGGTTAAACCATTTTAGATCGATGGATATCAAATCAAGATATTATTTGTAAATAATTGACAAATGATGCAGGCAATAACCAAAGTATTTAAAACCCCCAAATAGAGCAATTTGGTTGTGATAGTCACTTTGATGTGTGGTTGTAGGTAGCTACAGTGGAGTTTTAATCCATGACTTTCCCAAGTGTACACAAAATCCATGACTTTCTCAAAGTGAATACAAAATGCCGCAGCTGTAATTTGAACTCCCTTCTCCATTTTTACTTTGCATTAGCCAAACTCTTTTATCTCTTGTTACTTTCATTTAAATTGTTTGCATTATATTCTGGTGGTCAGAAAAACATTTATCGTATAATTAAAATTTTTAAAAATATCAATTTTAAACAGGTACCATGATTGAAATTTTTTTTTTTTTGTCATTTAATTAAAATAAAATAATATGTAAACATATTGATGGTGATGAAAATATACCAAGTTCAAATTATGTTTATAAATGGAAAAATTTCCAATTCATTTGTGGAATAGGAATTTAAAAAAAAATATGAAAAGGTATGAGAAATAGTAAGTTAAAGAACAATTATTGTTGATTGAAACTGTCTCTTCTTTCAATTCAATGACTGTGATATTTTGCAAGTAAAATCTTGTAATCTTTTTTTAATTCAGAGAAAACAATATTGACAGTGTCCTGAATCAACCATTCTGTGTTCAGCATAACTCTTTTGGCAAAATGCAAGAATATGAGTTAAAGCCAGGAGGTAAAGACATAGAAGTTACTGAGGAAAGTAAACGAGAATATGTCAGGTAAAAAAAAATTTTAATTTTTTTTATTTTGGGGAATTAGATCTAACAATGAAATATTCTCCTCAATTGTAAATTTTTTTATATTTTTTTTATTTGTGGAATAGATTTATCCTTTCAGTCAGAATGTATTCTTCCTGGAAAACCAAAATCATTTTCTCCTCTTCCATAGATTCTCTTTCTACTTGAAATATTTTTTCTATCGGTGAAAAGATGATTTCACAATTCTTGTTTTATTTATTTTGCAATTGTTCCAGGTTTTGGGTCATGCGGACCAAAGTCTGCATGACCCAAAACCTGGAACAATTTTATGTATCATAATTGCTGATTTAAAAGCTGCAAAGAATTTATTGTTGTAAAAATGATTTATTCTGCTTTTTTACAATACTAATATTTTTTATCTATTTATGAAAATAGTTAAAATGTGAAGTATAGTCAAACTTAAATTTTTTTTTTTTTTTTTTTTTTTTTTTTTAGTCGAACTAGCTACATAGTTAATAGGGAACATGCATGAAAAATAAACCCCCACCTTAAAAAGAAAAAAATGAAAATTCCATCTGTGGCAATCCGAATCCATTGACTGTAGATGATAGAAATTTTTGTCATTTCACTTCTCTGGCTTGGTTGTGAATGTCGGAAGTAATATATTTATGCCTTATGATGAATTTTGTAATTTGAATTGAATAAAATTGTTTTACTGTACTTTTACATCTGCTGTTATGTGATTGAAACTTTCTCTCTCATTGAGCATCAAGTCTTGTTTTGTAGGCTGTATGTGAACTGGAGGTTTATGCAAGGAATTGAAGCTCAGTTCTTAGCTTTGCAAAAAGGCTTCCATGAATTAATACCACAGTCCTTACTGAAAATGTTTGATGAACGAGAATTGGAGGTTTGACACTTTACTTTATTTCATTCTCCTTGAAATTGAAAATAAGTCCACCATTTTTTTTTTTTTTTTTTTTTGAAAACTTGAATTTTTTTTTTTTCTAACATTCTCTACCGTGTAAAACAAAAAATTATGAAGTAATCCTAGAGACAAAAATTCATTAGTAACTCTTCTAAACAGAAACTAAAATAATTTTTAAAATATTTTAGCACCATTCATACTTAAACATTAATCCAGTTTTTAATAATGTTGATCCAAATCATGTTTGAATAATATATTGACTTCTCAGTCAACATTGATCTTCAAATATTTAAATGCAATGTCAATCGTTATCTTCTATCTTAATTTTGATTCTTTTATTGTCCTCTTTAATAGTAGTTTTTCTTATATTCTCTAACACTTGGTAACCTCTTGCATTTTAGTGGCTTTATTCCTTTGCTCTGGGTGAAATGATTAAAAACATACGTACATGTATTTTATAATTTTTACATAAGCATTTTTGGTTCTCACCAGTCGAGATGCAGTCATATCGAAACAAGAATGCATCTTTGTAGTGAGCAAGTTGTTTTTGTCTGTATATAAAAATTATAATTAATTACTGCTCTACTCTCGGTATTGAACCCTCTTTTGAATTAATGCTGTGAACGTTAGAATTTATATTGTTTTCGTTCTCGTTACATTCAGATATATTTTTATATATCAAGAACAGTATTGAGGAAATTGTATGACGCTGGAAAAAGTTTACTTGTGATGCATTTTGTCCTTCAGGACTTCCTTTGTTGTTGGTAGGACTACACTACTTATATATATATATATATATATATATATATATTTAAAAATCAGAGCTTACCTTGGTTTCAACCTTACGGTATCCTCAGGTGGTTTTTATGAAATGGCCTCTTAACACTTAAGGACATATGAGGCTGGATAAAAATGAAGTAATTTATATTTCAATTAAACCCCCAACCCCAACAATACATTTACAATAAACTTGCTTTTCTTCTCTTCCCCTTTCTTCACATCCTCCTCCTCCCTTTCTATTACATCCAATGCTGTGTGTCTGTGTGTTTATTTTTGAAAATAATAGTATAGCATCCATTAGTTTTTTTTTTTTTTTTTTTTTTTTTTTTTAAATAAAGTGTTAAGAGGTCATTTGATAAAAATTGTCTGAGGATACCATAAGTTTGAAACCAAGTTAGCGAATTCAACTGACCTGATTTTTTTTAAGTTAAAAACTCTACGTGTTATTCATGTTATTTTTACCTATTATTTTTTCACACATGTATTCAGCACTTTTTAATACTGCTGTTTCCTGGGCTGATTGAACTTGTGTGTGTATATATATATATATATATATATATAGTGTGTGTATGCATTCATCTTTATCCTATATTTAATCTTTAATATATTTATTAGAATGTCTTTTTTTTTTTTTTTTTTTTCCCCTTCTTTGTCTCACAGCTTGTGATTGGTGGTCTAGGCAAGATTGATGTGGAGGATTGGAAAATGCATACCAGATTGAAACACTGCACATCAGACTCTAATATTGTGAAATGGTTCTGGCGAGCTGTGGAGAGTTTTGATGATGAAACAAGAGCACGATGTCTTCAGTTTGTCACTGGAAGCTCAAGGGTTCCACTTCAAGGCTTCAAAGCTCTGCAAGGTAAAAAGAAAAGAGAACATGCCTTTAAAAATATGTTGACTTTAAATTTTTAATGTTCCAGCGATTCACTTTCTGCATTTCAAACTCCAGCCAGTGATTTTTTTTTATGAACTTCCCACACCTTTTTCTTTTTTTTTTTCTCCCTCTCTCTCTAAAAGTTCATTAGGATTTCCAAAAATCCTTATGTCATGTTTTACTGTATTACTTGTTATACTGGATATTTGCTTTATCTGAAATGTTTAATATTTTATTTACAGAATTATAAACTTCTTAGGGACGATTTACTAATTATCTAACTTTTAAATAATTTTTTTTTTTTAACAGATCATATTCACTTTATGAAAATATTTAATTTTAGCTAACACATCATCTAGTGTGTAACATGCTTTTTCTGTTCTTATTGATAAAATGGTGACAAAACTGTTCTTGATATTTAAAAATCTTAGTCAAGATGTGTGCCTATGGCCTTGTTGTGTTGTCACCATATCCTCGAATCTGTGACTATTTTCTCTTGTTTAATTTGGTTGCCAAGATTAACTGGACAAGGAATTGTAACTTCATCTTACTTAGGTTTTGTATCTTTCATCCCAACACTAATTGATGTCTTGGGTGTCTTCTTTATTTTTAGGTTCCACGGGTGCTGCTGGGCCAAGACTGTTCACTATCCATCAGGTTGATACCAGCACAGATAACTTACCAAAAGCACACACATGGTAAGTAATAAACCATTTTCAAGTTACATTTTATTTATAAAATATTTTTGCAGTTTCTTCAAATTTAATTTTGAACACTGTTTAAACTTGAAGAAATTTGTCTGGCTTATCTTAATAACAGGAACTGGATTTTGCATGATATTACTTGTTCTTTTGTACAGTTGTTGATGTAGGCAGCAAAAATGGTTTAAATTTGAATGTGCCATCTATTCTGTTTTTACTTAAGAAAAAGTGTGCATGAAATAAATGAAATAATGTATTTTATAGTGCTGTTGATATAAGACTCACTTTTTACTGCCAAAGCATAGTAAACATTTACCAGGGTGTGTGCCGAAAAAAAATGGTTGCCCAAAAGACAGGGTCTAGGGGGTCTCTCTTTTTTTCTTCTTCTTTTATATTCTTAATTCTATCTATAAAAGGTAGGATATGTGTGTGTGTGTAACGAATGCACGGCCACAATTTTTGACAGATTTGCACCAAAATTTACATGCACATGCTCCAAGTTGGTGGGAAGGCCAAAACTGACTTTGCATTTCCCAACTCCCATCGATAGTGGAAATAATCAATTTTTTTTTTTTCATGCTTCTACGGCAATTTTCATGTAGTTTGCAGTGTAAGCCTATAGCTGGCTGCCAGGAATAGGCAGGAAGATTCTATTGGTCAGCGTGAGAGCCAATAGCTGACGGACACGAATGTTAACTAGCATGATAGCATGCAAATAAATCGATAGCTGCATTCGTCACAAGTGGGAAAAATTTAAATCTGTATGGCACTTTACTCCAATTGGCTCATTCGCTTGCTTAAACTTAATGTTGATTCTGATGCCGCAGAATTGGGTGTGAAAAAGTATGTTAACATTCTTTTTTTTCATTCGGTTTTTCCAGTTACGAGTCCTTTTTTAAAGCTGATCGTTTTGTGTTCATTTTGTTTAGTCTTTTTTTCGTAACAGATTCTAATGTTTAGTATAGAGCTTAGAAAAAATTCGCAGTGTGAGATAGACAAGAAGTAAGGCATGTAGCAACATCAGCATGGCAAAGGGCACTCCTTTAAAGGCAAGGAAGGGCAAAAATATTTTAAGTCAAGTGATAGCAATTGCTGTATGAGTTGTACGATTTTTGAATCAAGCACGGGCAATGCCGGGCCATGCTGCTAGTATTTGATAATCTTGTCTATAATAATAATCTTGAAGGAGATTTATCCTTTGTCGCTTGAGCCATTTTCAGTATTCCATAAAAATAGTTTTGCATTCACTGAGGCTTGACCATTAAAGCAAATGATGTGAACTTTTATTGACTAATAATTACAAATGTTTCATTGCATTTCGCTTTCTTTATGAAGAAACAAATGTAACAAACCAGTTTGCATAAACTGTTTATAAAAAAAAAAAGAAATAACGTCAGTCTCTTCAGAAAAGAAAGCAAAATGTTTGTCAGTTGATGAAAAAATTAGTTTTTATTTGCTGCATGTAATTTTGCTTTTACAATTGTTTTACTAGCAAAAATATGTCTTCAATTTTGCTATCTACCTCTCTGCTTAAATTATGTTTTATGATAAATATAATTATTTCATAAAAATTGTATTTGTTTCTTTAAAATGAGTTTCTTTTTCTCTTGTTTTCAGTTTTAACAGAATAGATATACCACCTTATGAAGATTATGAAAAATTCTTAAGCAAATTAACTTGTGCTGTGGAAGAGACCTGTGGTTTTGCTGTGGAATAATGGCGCCTAGACAGTAAGGCTAGATTAGTTGATGAATATTTTTTTTTGTAATGTACTAAAGAGCTATTTCGGGCGAAGAAATACTGCTCAGTCTGTGCTGCAGCAGCCGTTTTACACAAGGGTCAACACAACAGCAAGGCAAATGGATTGCCGCCTTGTATCCCCCATTGTAAGCTGACCACTATGTGGGAAGTTATGGCTTCACTTACAAGTGGAACTTTTTTTTTTTTTTTTTTAATTTACACCATAAGTCTCACTCATCTTGTTCTCACTTGACCACTGACTGACCAAAGGTCAGGGTAACATTAGCTTTCAAAGTGTTATACTTTGTCAATAACATAATCATTGGTCTCATCTGAATTTTTTAAACTTCACTCTGCCACCAAACTGACCACTGGCTAGCTTGCTTACTCATTCACTAAAGAAATGCTTTCTCATCCACATGTAAACTGGCTGGAAGCATATACCATCAAAGGCCTGGGAATGCCGTTCACTGTAGTGAAAGAAGTACAAATAAGCCTGTTCTCCAAATAGAGACGTGAATGAGTTTGACATGATTGTCGAGTGTGTGTGTGTGTGTGTATCAGAATCGGTATATAAATGTTAAGACGTAAGTGTTTGTATGTTTTTTGCTGAAAGAATAGGTTTTGAAATGAAAAAAAACAAAAAAACACTTGGCTATTGTGATCGTTCAGTAAATGTCATAGCCAACTTCTGATGACTACGACAACTGCGACAATAGCAACTTGGGACAGTCAACAAAGAAAAACTCAAAAGAACCACATTACATTATTTTATTTTTTGATTTGATGGGCAATGGTAGTAACTGCGGTCACTACCTGATAATTGTTGAGATTTTATCTACAATTTACAAAACGTTACCGTTTTATATCTTGACTATTTTTTAGTCAACCATTTTAAGGAAAAGCAATGAATTTTTTTTTTCATATAAATATAAGGGTAGAATAAAGAAAGACATACGGAAATAATCTTTTAAAAAATATCACCATCACAGAAACCACATGTACAGTACACTTATTGCTAATTTTCTATTTATACAACCGGCCTGATGGTAGCATAGTAAGTTGGGCATTTGCTCAAAATCATTTCCATGCCTTATCTGATGACATCAACAGATAATTTGTGGCAGCGCCTAAGTTTTAATATTCAACCTAACACAGTCACCTTATTGTAAGTAAATTTATTTATATAAAAAAGATTTTGTGATTTCTTATTGTTGTTTAATGCTCATTCCTCCTCCTTCTCCTCCTCCTCCTCTTTTTTTATTTATTTTTTTAATTTTTTTTTTATGTGAATCTTAACCCCTGGATCATTCTTTCTTCTCCACTCAGAAGAGAAAAGAAAAAAAAAAAAAAAAAACATTTTGTAAATGTTACCTGTTGAACTTTTTAAATTGTTGGCTCCTACCAAAGTTATGAAAACTTTTTTCTTTTTTTTAATTAAAGGGATTCAAAAACAAAAGTTCTTTGTGTGTCCATGTTCGATGAAAATCTTAGTGTGCTGTGCTTTTTCTGGAAGTGTTCAGCTCCATAATTTTGGAGGAGGAGGTTAACATTAATTTCTCCTCCCCCCCACAAAGTTAATGAGATTTTTCAATCCTTAACACACAATTTTTTGTCACTGAATTTTATTTAGATTTTCTCCATATGTGCAAAACTTGTTGAAGCTAATGAGAGGCAAGTGATTTCTGTTACCACTGCAGTGGAGGGCAGCAGTCTGCTATTCCAATCGAGGGAAAAAACAAAAAAACAAAACAAAAGCCTCTTTATTCCTCCAGCCCAGACATCTTTCTTTCTTTTATTTGTCAAAGAAGTCGCTTGTATCAATGACAAGAAATATCTCTTGCCTTAGGTTTCGATTTTAAAAGAAATACACTTTGAGATGGGGATTCTGATATTATTTTTTTTTTTTTTTTTTTTTTTTTTTTTTTTTAGAAAGGTGCAGTTTGTGATTGGGGCTGGGTTGCAATGTCCTCCTCTTTGTGGGTTAATGAAGGAGAGAACACTCCCTGGGAAGACAGTGGTGAGGTTTTGATCATATACTCCTAGAGATAAATTTGGCTGCTACTTGTGTATTTGCATGTGTGCGTGAGTGTGTATGTGTGTGTGTGTGTGCACGCATTTCAAGGCAGCAACTTTACAAACCTTCTGACATCCATGCAAATATCCCATTTCAGTTTTATATATGAAATTGTACAAATTGTCTTGTGATTTCTAATACAAAATAAAATAAGTTTGAAAAATACATTCTTTTGTATGAGATCTCATTTGAGGAGAGGAACTCTTCTCTCGCAGAGACTTACAGTTTCTCTTCTATTTTCCATAGTGGCTCTCATTTATGGCTGCACTTTCCTCTCTCTCTCTCTCTCTCTCCTTTTCTTTGGATATTTAACTTTCTTTTCTTATTCAGCAGGAATTCATCCCAAAGATTTTTCACTGCTGTTGCAAAAAGAAGGATTTTCATCCTGAGCAAAAATAGTATTTTAGGGAAAAGTTGGTTTTATTTGATGAATTATTCGAAAGGCTTTACGGATATATATGTGATTTACCTACGTTTCTGCCGTTTTCATTTTTTACTTTTCATGCATTGAAAACTTGGATCAATAAAATTGATGCACTTCTTGCTAGAATTTGGATGTTATGCAATCTTTATAAGACACTTAAATTCCAAAAACAGGAACTGCCTATTTCTGACATTACAGCAGTAAAATGATTTTTTTTTTTTTTTAATCACTTTAAAAAAACAAAACGAAAAAAAACATGAATCTCATCAAAGGAATAGTTTATCTTTGCCACTCTTTCTCTTCAACCTCTAAAAGTTAATTTGATCTTTGATAGACAAAATGATTTCAAGAATTAGTGGAAGTTTCTTCATACTATGATTTTCATCTGGTTTGGAAAGAATAACATTTTTCTTTTGGGCAGTGTTTGCCATCACCAGGAAGGTGAGATGAAAATGTAACTAAATTGATCAGACGAACATTTTTACAGTCTCTCCTACATGACTGAAACAATTCCATATCTTCTATATAATGTTGCTCTCTAACCCTTTCCTTTCTAAACAAAGAAATCCCCACTGGGTAGTGTCCATATTTCTGTAAAGCTGATGTACAAAGTTCTTACTAGTTTTCTTATCCTCAAGTGAAGCTACCTATCATTTGGACTTTATCCCAAAAGGAATTATTTGATGCCTTATCCTACATGATGGGCTGCCATCACATTTCTCACTTTTTAACCTAGCTTACATTCCTAAATTTGGAATCTTTTCCACATTTCTATGAGATCTGCTATAAAAGTGAAATAATATATATTATATAAAATAATTCATTGAATAAATAAAGTTTGATAGAAGTTGTATTAAACCCTCCCCAATTAAAAAAAATCTTTACAGCATATTAAATCCCATTTGAAACCATGCATAGAAGATTAATTGGATATTAATATGAAAGTTTTTTGTTTTTTTTACTTTTATTCCATATGCAAACACACTTGACTATTTGAAGTTGTTGAAATATATTTGTAAGTTGTAAATGAATTCCTGGTAGCAACTTTTTCAGTATCACTTTTGTCTAAGGTCATTTTGTTTCTTTTTTATTTAAAGATACATTAAAAAGAAAGAAAATGACTGCAGGATTTTTCCCCCCATTTTAATAAAACACATCTTGATTTTTTTTTTTTTTTTTTTTTTTCATTTGTGGCTTTTAATGGTTTTTATCAATTTGCAACTTTTGTTCTTTTGTGTTGCCAACTGATATAACTGCACAGACATAACTGCAAAACCGCCTTGCTTATTAATTGTCAGCATTTTTATTAAATGAAGCCGTTACATGCCTTGTGTCTGGCTAATCTGTGCAAATCTGCCATATTGGTGCATTCTCACTTCCAATATGGTGCTCAACAAAAAATACGGTATGATCATTTCCTTTCTCACTGACAAGGGAGGTTGCTACTCGCATAAAAGCTGCATTTCGTCCAGGAGGCTCAAAATTCATCATTTTTATTTATTTTATGAAATTAGTTTGCTATGTTTGAGTAAATAGAAACTTTCTGGAAGAATTTCTAGGATTAGCAGTTATTATTTACATGTGGACGATTGTTCCCCATCTTTGATGTTATCAAAACATTTTAGTCATTTCATCCAGTGATTGTTGCTCCTGAAGACCTTTAGGGAATTTCAAAGTGAACCCTGTATTTAATCTATGGGGATAGATTGTTTTCCTTCCACCACTCATGTCCATCAAATATCTTGTAGAGTTTTTATTTAGTACTGCTCATTTATTGTGCACACTGCCCAGCCCAGATATTAAATTTGGAATTACAGTGTTCTCAAATTCGTGAACCAATGCTTTAAATAATTAGGCAGTTTTCTGTCCCTCCTATACGACCCTCCCTTTGGTTCTGTAACATGAGAGAAAAATGACTTACCTCCTGGCAGAAAATGGATTCGGACATGTCCTTCATGTAAAGTATCTCAAAAAGACAATGGCAGCTTTACAAGTCATATATTTAAGAAAAGATAGATCAGAGTTGGATACTTTCATGAGACATTTTTTTTGTACCAGTGCAAATTTGACTTGTTACTAAATCTATAAAAAGTGTTTAATGAGGCGACAGAGCAGTGTGACTACGGTAGCAAACAGGAGACACGTGTTGGATTGATTGACTTACACCAAGCTGTTTGGTGAAAGAAACGAATCAGGGAACTTTATTCCAAACAAGAAGACACTGACTACAGGCTCATCACATCCAAGTTTACCATCTGATTGCTACGGATGGGAACCCCTTGGATCTACAAAGTGTTCTCAGTTCCTAACATGTAATGAGGATTTCCCAGCTAGTGGGTTGACTATATCCACTAGGAAGAGCTTATTGGAAAAGATTCAGATCTGTAATCCATACAAAATCAGGACAATATTCAGAAGCTCATCCAACCTATAGAGGAGAACATGACAAAGAACTGTGTGCGCCATTCCTTGCAGTTGTGGCAAAAATTATAAAGGTCAAACTAAGCACACCCTAAAAGTAAAGCTAGAGGAACATTGCCATAATTAGGTGTGAGATGATGAAATCAGAAATAGTTGATCATGTAGCGAGGGAAAATGGTAATCAACCCCTGTGGAATGAAGTAAAAATACTGGACAGACAGACAGACATCTGAAAGAATCAATGTATATACTAGACTATGAGGACTTTCATAGTAGACTTAGCTTAGAAATAAATATGATATGGATGTTATTAATAAAGAGAAGCAAGGCTTCAGCAGCAGTTTCAGTGAATGCAGTCAAACATGCCAAGCAGCACAACATCAGCAGGCAGGTTAGATTTAAGGCTCCAAGACTTCTTCTATTCAAGATTGTCCCACAGGATAATGGCTTAAATCATGAATTTGCCAGGTCTAGTTATGTCACCAGTGTTATGGAAAGTGTGAGCAATATAAATAAGGATTAGATGAGATATTTGGACATTTAAACAAGGTTAAATAAAGTGTTCAGTTTGAAATTCCCTGATTGACAAGCACCTGACGAAGGCTGGATGGCACAATTGCTGAAAGATAACAAAGATGAGGTCAATAGTCTTTATGTAAACAGAAACTTTCTGTGTGGTTACAAAACTGGTGTTTTAAATCAAATATTACTACTGACATGATTGTTTTTATTGCAAGGTGATCCTTATACCAGGCCTGGCAGCCATACGACTGGGGTCCACAACCGGGATGGACTTGTGGAGACCTAAATTATTACTAAACAACAATTACTGAGAACATTTTGAGCAAGGGACATGTTAGTAATGTCCAGTAATTAGTTAATTTAGCAGCTTACAATTATTGACTTGTTTCTATAAGTGCAAATGTACAAAGAAAGAACAAAAACAACCTCCTCTATCATAAAATAACTAAATCCACAAAAATCACTTTATTCACCATCAATTAGAGCCATTTTTAGATGATATTGCAAAAATATAAAATATAATTGTATAATACAATTGGAAAGTAATTTCAATATTTTACAAAATTGTGTATCAACAAAGTCTGAAAAAAATGAATTTCAGAGAAATAATAATTTCGATAATCTTTACAAAAATTTATTTTGATTTTTGTTATGTATACAATTGAAGAAAATATTGGCTATGATATGATATTACCAGTATACGTAGTTTTAATTAAAATCAATTTACACAATTAACAGGATAATTTTTTGGAGTTAACCAATTATGTACAAGGGGAGAAACTGAAAATAAAAAAAAGTCTGGTAAATATTTCTCTGAATGGATATTTTAATGCAGCTTCATGAATATATTTTGACAACTTAAAAGAAATATGAATGTTTAATACTGATTATGTAGATGAAAAGAGAATTCTATAAACATTTTTATCTTTATAAATAAAATTTTAAGATAATTTCAAAACTTTTAGTGCTGATTCTTGAATTGTCAAAAAACAATTTTTGAAAAATATGTTTGATATCCCATGCTCTCTTTTTATATTGAAACTATATATATATACACACACACATGCACACTGAAAACTAACAAAGATTTTTGTCAAAGAATTTCTGCAAGTCTTCAATTTGACAACACCAAACACACAATGAACTGTGGTATCCAGTAGAATTTTAAAATTACCACAATGTATTTCTTTCAAAAATTTTGAGTAAAAAAAAAAAAAAAAAAAAACTAATATTATTAAATATTTCCTCTTCTGTGGAACAATCTTTTCTTGTAGCCTGTTATATACAAAACTGACATTTTAATATCTTTAGAGATCCTAGTTTTAACTGGTAAGTTATCAAATGTTTGGCATCTCATTTCATCCAGCAAATGTCCACATTTTGAGCAATTATGGCCTGGATCAAAGTTGTTTATTGCTTGACTTCAACATTTAATTTAAGAAGTAGTTTTAGTTTTTTCAATATTTAAATAACATTTTGAACTGTTATAATATATGCACCTCCAGAACTTTGTTTTAATTTTCCAAATAGTTTGTGGTAAATTCACTAAGCATAATAAAATTAAACCCCTTGCTTAGGAAATATCTACAAACATCAATTAAGCCATTGCATGTATGTTCAGTGGCTAAACTAGTATCTCTTGTTAAGGATTTCATTCTTTTTCCTTCCATTCTTTTTGTCATTTTACCAGAATTAGAAAGAAATAACAGATGTTCATCATCTAAAGCTGATATCACCTTTTTCAGTGGATCATGTCTTTTATTATCACCATATACTTTTTTGACACAGAAAATTTTCAATGAAATTAACTGTTTCTGCAATATCCTCCCCATTTAATAATGGGAGTGTTTTAATCACAAAAAACTTAAACAATGAGAAACATTTTGTTACTCAACAGGTTTTGGGTAAACTGCTACATCAGTTTCAACAGCTTAACAAATTGAGTTTTTTCATACTCAAGGACCTTTTGCGAGCATCTTTTTACCTTCAGAATAAAACAGTAATTCAGAAGTAGATTCAGTAATCCAAAGCTTATTAAAAAGTGTCAAATTTAAAAAATAAAAAAATTTAATTTTTTACTTTAATTTTGCACATACAAGATATTAAAAATGTAATATTTTTATTTACAAAGGACAGTAAAATTAGAAAGTCTCTGAAACTAGCTTTAAATGACTTTCCACCTAGTTTCATGTATTCAGATTTAATAGTAAATGATAATATTAGCCTTTTTTTTATGAAAATATTTCACATTCATTGATTGAACAAGCTGTGCTACTCTTTGTTGAAATTCATAAAATCCTTCTCTTAAAAGAATATTTTCAGGAAAATTAGTTTCTCAACTCCGCATTTTATTACTCTTCCCAGTATTGATGGGGGTTCCCTCACTTTTATTGTTCTTTTGCCCCCCCCTCGCCATCTTAGTGGCATTATTGCCTTGCTAGGAGTGAAATGATTAAAAGAAAATAAAAACCAAGAAGCCCATCCCTAAACCATTCCTCTTGCTGCTGTACACAGACACAAACCTAAATCAACAAAAATACTGTGCTGAGATCTTCTTTTAATTTACTACAAATTACTGCTAGAATAACTTTTCTGCCTCAAAATTGTCAACCAGGATACATAGATTAAAAATATATCAGGAGTAAAGAATTAAACTCAATTTGTTTTCATTAAAACTGCTGTGAAATTGGAGATCAAAACTGCAGTTTTAACACTTGAAATCTCCCTGAGAATCACAATGACCACCAGATGAAATACCTGTAAAATCTTGTTACTTCCCATTTTGCTGATATCTACATGTGATAAGCCATGAAGATTAAAAACACTACCCCAAAAAATGTATTTTTGGTAGTGCTGAGACAGGAACAACAAATCAATGAAATGTGAGTCAGGGTTATGGTGCTATCCATTTTAGCTTTTCAGTCCTCAAATGGCATAATTTATTTGGTACAAATGATTCTGTAGCACCAGATTTGAAATAAGATGATGATCTCTAAGATCCCATTTTTAATTATTGATCTTAACAATGTCTAAACATATCTTGTATATAGCTAGGTTTTAGATATTTCTGAACAAGTTGAACACCATGCATGGCATCCATATTAGTCTCAAGCTGACACAGGAGTTCTTAGTTTCTCCCAACACTACCAGATGCTTAAAACATTAACCTATCCCTAGATCATCCTATTCTAGGATTAATTTCCTTTGTTTGATAACTGATCCATAAACATTAATTCCAAATTCTGAATTTTTATGGTTGATTCAGTGGCCATGGTTAAAAGTAAAATAAATGCCCAACAAACGGAATTAAAGTTTACAAGAAAAAAAAAGTATAAAGCAAGCAAATAATATATACAAGGCAAAAAGTTTGTAAACTAAGAATTGGTGTTGATACATGAGTAAGTTTGGTTAAGCGAACCTAGAGTTCTGGCTTCAAGATGAGACAGACTAAGATTGAGTCAGATGAAACTGAGAACCAGCCTTATTTTATTAGGCTAGGAAGAAATCCCAGCATCCATTTCTGTGCTTCTCCCTATAAATTGGGGAGGGGAAAGTATTTTGCAATCATTTTCCCATGCATAATGAAACCAACATGTCATTTCTTTTATTACAATTCCACCAGAGTTTCTGTTTTGGAAAGATTTATCTTGAGTCCTACTTTAAATATTTGGTTGGTGATGAAAATTTTTTTTTTTTTTTTTTTTTAAATCATTCTTATTACAACTACAAATACCCATGACATCAGCCTGTCTCTCCTTTTATCATAAGCACACAAGCTTAAAGATGGAAAACAGGGACACAGTTTTCAATTAGAAGATTCATTCAATATGTGTTACAGAATGCTTAAAGCTTGTATATATACAGGGCATGGTCTAGGAAGTTATACTCCTGAGGTTTGAAATTATTTAGTATTGGGGTTATCACCAGACATGTAGGACTATGTGCTGATGGTTCCTTTATCAGATCAACACATTCAGTAGAGCCAAACCTTGGAAGATTGTTTCCAAAAGCAAATTATAAAAACTTTCTTCCGCTAGGAAGAAAAACAAAAATTTAAAGAAAAATCAGCAAAGATAATATTTTATTTTTTTTCGTTTTGTTTATAAATAAAACATCTTTAAATCAAAACTTATATTCCTCATTATTTACAAAGAAATCTTGATCCAGAAATGTCAACTAAGTAAAATTTCTTGTTCATAATATCAACATTTTTTATATAAATGCAACAAACACATCCACAACCATTTGATAGAAATGTATCTTGTAGCCATACATTTCTTTGAACGAGAATGGAATTGTTTTCATTATTCAAACACTTAATGTGTAACAGGATACTGGTAGAGATAAAAAAAAAAAAATGTTTAATAAAGTTTTAAAAAAATAGACACGTTCCACAAAGCAGTTGCTAGGGTTTGAACCTAAGACTTTATGGTATCCAATCCCAAAGTCAATTTTTAAACAATAGAGTCAAAGCATTGGTAAAATTTAATTCACTTTCCAAAATTAATCATTAAGAATGAGATTTTTCTTTTCTTTTATTATTAAATGTCAGCATTTACCATGCTGGGTTTAATGACTGTTGCAGATTTCTAACTGGCGCTATCTCTGATATATATAGCTAGGCAAAAACATTTACTATGTGCTTAGCTTAGTTGGGCACCCAATGAGGATCAACATCATTGTACAAGCATGCTAACCACTACTCAAGAATCACATGTATAAAATAAAATTGCCAGTGAGATCTCAAAGTCCTGAAAATTTTAGCAGATGTCCAGTTATGTGGTTAAAAACCCCAAAAGAATGGGTTCAGGTAGAGCAGCAGAATCAGGCAATTCCATTCTTTATTTTATAAAGAATAAAAATTGCCAATGGCTAAGTTTTTGTTGGTTAACAGCCATTTTTTTTCTGTTTATAGTAATTGCCCCTCCCTTATAAACAGAAGACATATTTTGAGACCCCCTTCCCAAGCACATAATACTAAACCATTTGTTCTTATCCCTAATTACCTATGATGAATGTAACAAACGGTTAGATCTTAGCAGTCTCCACATAAAATCGCCCACTTTGGACATCCTTTATTAAGTTGAGAGCTTGTGTAACTGAAAGAAAACAAGTTATATTTTGCCAGTATTACAATTCTCTCATTAAATAAAATTTATTAATCATTTCTATCTCTGGTTGACAGTAGATAAGGGAGAGAACAACTGTGTCATTAAATTTTGTTTCCTTTTTGTCTTTAAACTTTACCAGAGATGGATAAATGTATGCAATGAACTTCTGACCAGAGTCGAAAGTTCTTCAGCAGGAAGTGAATAAATCAGGATTGTGTTGTATTATTGGCGACTTTCAGCACAAAAATGGCATCATGAAGAACATAAAAAGAAGTGGAGAGATCACCCTCTGACAAATAAGGGACCCGAGAGAATGTCACCAATTCAAAACCAAGAGGTTTGAAAACATTATTAATTATGTCAGTTGTTTGGTCTTCAAATGTGTTTCCTTGAATTCCAAGTTTTTCAGCAGGTTTATGATCAACAGAATCTGAAATTAGAAAAAAAGAAAATCATTGTCTGAGAATGCTGAACATGAGAAAATGGAGTGAAAGCAATCAAGCATAGCAGGAAGGATAGAAGAACATTTAGATTTAAGGCATTGAGTTTTAACTTAGCAAAAGGTTGCTGACCACAACACAAACTATATGCTGAGGGTTTTAAAATAATTCAGCATGCCAAAAGCATATGTATTTTTATACAAGTCAAGGTCAATATACCTGTTCTACAATAATATGTAAACCACACTAATAGAAATTAAGTTTGTTTTTTTTTTTTTTTTTTAAAGTTTTTATTGTTAAGTGGAGTCCAACAAGTGAGCAGTTTTGAAACAGCTAAATATCTTCTTTGCATTGTAGTAGTTATTGGTCTGGACTTTGATGTCATTTGTAGCTGTGTGCCATGGCACACATGCTGTAGGTTGCTGACCCTTGACCTATTAGATTCACATGCCCCATATATACTCTACCTTCATTGCAAATAACACAGGAAGTCACATCAACAGTGAGACTGAGAACTAGATATTTATGGGGTGGATTTGAGCATGTTGAATACTAAAGGATTAAAGCAAGGTTTTGTGAATTTGGTGACCTAGTAAATTTGGGTTCAATTGCTTGGACTGTACAAACAGAGAAAGCAATAACCAGGCAATATTGAATATTTGGAAGATGGGATATATCCCTAGACATGGACAGGAGAACAAGAATTAAAGGGTTTTCAGTTTGCCGTATCAATGGACACTTAAGAGGGAAAAATTACAGAAATGGTGTGATGATTTGTTTTTTGGCAGTTTATCAACCCTTTGTGGGTCATTTAAAGCCAAAAACCTATTTTGGATTGTAAAGATTCTTTTTGCGAGTTAATATTGTATTAACAAATTTTTGGATATAACAATGTTTATTCCAGCTTCTAGTAATACTATTTAACCCATAACTAGGAGAGAGATTTATACCTTATAGGGTTATTTGTATGTAAGTGAATGTAACAAATGCGATACCATTTTCTGCTATCCATTACATCACCTGCACATCCACGTTGTGATGATGATTATAAGGATTGGGTTTGCTTCATATTAATGATGAAGAAGGAAATCCCTCATAACTACCTGACCAACACATAGCAGCAAAATAAAAAAAAAAAAAGTGTCCATTCAAAATGTAATTTGGTCAGATTTTAACAAAGTTGTTTCTAAAAAGAGCCATGAATGAAATCGATGTTAAATTAACTGGATGTATTGTTCCCCATTTCTATAATCAGTTTTTAAAGAAGGCATTTAAGAAATACCACACAAAACTTAGGATAAAGAAAATTTCTTAGATTTATCATTTGTTTTTGACATAAGTTTTTTTTTATTTTTTATATCTTAAACGGAGATCATTTTTGTCGCTTTCTTAATGTCAACATGACTTAAGTATTACCACAAAAACAAGATTGCTCCAGCATTTCTTTTAGGATAAAGTCGTTATTGCTTTTTTATTTCCTGTCATCTTTGAATGGAATGGAATTGAATTCTTAGTGACGTTTTTTTCTGAGAGAATCTTGGTTTGGGAAAGTTGTCTCTGAAAGATGAAATTGATTTTGTTAATTGCCTAAATGTTGTATCAGTTGTAAATCCTCTGACAGAAAATAGACAAACTACAAAGTATCGTCAACAATTATATCATTCTCTGCTTGTGAAATGTGATGATGGCTAACCCTCCAAATAAATCATATTTCAATTATACAAGAGGGGATTTAAGTAAAACACCAATCCGTATTCCTATTTCTAAAACGTTTCCAATAATATTTTATTCTGTGTTAATTTTTTTGTAATGAAATGCATTCATTTTCTTGTAATATTTCTCAGATTATAAAACAAAAAATAGGGAAAATAAACAAATGTTTTGGGTGTGAGGAAGAGGTAACCAAAATGCTTACATATTGATACTGAACAATAAAATCTAGTCGTTTCTTTAAGTCATTTGCTGGTATTGAGAAAATGCTCAATCTTTACAGATAAACCTCAATTCTTAGTTACAAAATTGTAAGAAATAAATACACATAAAAGTCAAATAAAAACAACCATTAACCTGGAAAGTACAGGGCAAACTTTCAAGACTTATTTCAGGGCAAGGAAAGGATGTCTTTGATGCCAGGAAATACAATAATTACAAAAATATGTATGTTTTAAGACTTCTCTCCTAAAATGCTTGTTCATTTCAAGTATTCCCACCACTTCTTTAACCAAAACCAGGACATAAGGGAGATAATTCATGAATTTAATATTAATAAACTGGTAAGAGCAAATAGTGAAGAGGGTTTAAAAAAAAAAAAAAAATTAGCATGGTTTGTTGCTAGTAGAGGTTCTTCGGTTAGAGAATTTTTTTTACTGAAACCTTTAAACACTTGATAACTTGAAGCAGACTGACAATTATTCTACTAATCTTGAAAACAGACAAGTAAAGAACTGATGTCTCTATGAATCGGAAAACAGACTTCTAATTTAAAGAACAGGTTTTAGTTCTTGTGTGTCATAAGGAAAATACATTTTAATAAGTCATGCACTCAAAATCATTGGACATTTACAGACAGTTATTGATTGTTTAAAAAGGTGAACACTTACTTTCTTCAACGTAGGCACTGAATGGAAGAACGAGGGCCACCACTAGACGCCCCGTCTCTGGTCGAAGAGTAGCCTTTATCTGTTTCAAGATATTTAATGGATAATTGCAGCGGTCAAGCAGGTTCAGGCAGCTGATAACGTCATAAATTAGATGACCATTTGCCCAACTTTCAATGTCAATAACACTGGAGAGGAAAAATAACAAACAAACATAAGTCACACAGCAAATATTGCAAAAGACAATTTCTGGGTAGAAAAAAAAAAAATCAATACAACAAAATGTAAGATTTTACATTCTCATTGTTAAACAATCAGAACAAAAAAAAGTCACTTTAATTTTCAATTGATATGTTGTCTTCATTAGCAATGACATGTCTGTTGAAAATGACTTGGTTTGATTTTTAAAAAAGCCAAGAGAACATCATAATCATTTCATAATGTATCACACTCTAACAGCTGAAAATTGTCAGTTTTTAAGAATTGTTGATTGATCCAAAGGTAAAAGAAGCTGGAATCAAAACTATGACTCATTTTTAGTCAAAGTTGGCACCCTTTTTAATGGCATGGGTAATGGAATTGGTAAACCAGAGTTTTCACTCATTTCTTATTAATAACCTTGGGAAAAGCATGCATCCATCTTTTTTTTTCTTCAGCAAAGGGTCAGGCTAAATAGCAGGGGGGAGGGGGGGTAAAGGTTGGAGCCTTGTAAAAGCAAATTATCAGGAGCATTCAATAGTAGGTCAAGGTTAGAGATCATTCATTGATACCAGTACCATGAAACCTATTGCAATCTGTCACATGTTACTTGGAGAGGAAATCACCAAGTAACTTCAATTGTCTTCAGATGCCATGAAGAGAATATACTCAGCATTGCATTTTGGAGCAAGAGATGATGTCCGATTCCAAGTAAGAAAGCCACTTCTTTAACAAGTCAACATTCAGCAATAGGCAACTGAGGAGATTGGTCAATAGATCTTTGCAATTTAGGCACACTGTCATCTTCTCAGGTGCCAAATGAACCTTTTTGTTTGAACCCCCTGCAGCCTACTATCAAACATAAGAGCACTAAAGAAGTCTTGAAATTTATTGTGAGTATCAACACAGAATTACTAGAGAAATTTCACTGATGTTTATTTGCACAAAAGCCAGAACCATTTTCTATAGACACATAACCATAAATGATGTTAGTTTCATGTAATGAATATACAAGTTCATGGCAAAAGCCATCCCGATGGAGTTTAGACAGAATCACAGGTTGATTGTCCTTAGCCAAGGCTATTTTCTTGCATAATGTATAGAAATTATGCATGCCTCTGAAATTTGCTCGGCTGATTTTGACAAAGTCTCCAATGATGATCTGATGTTGAACTGGCTATCATAAAAAGTAAGACCAGCAAATAACTCAATGTCCAAATTCTCCATTTTTCCCTAGCATTAAATTTAACGTTAATAGCTTTTGGAGACAATATTGAATGAATTTCTTAAATGATAGACAAGGCAGTTCTATCAGCAGCTTGCAAGGTGGCATGTATACTCTTATTAAGTTAGGCCTTGATGACTTTAATTAAAGTTGCTTGAATCATTTGTTGCTTTGCACAAAGGATGATATTCATAAAACATGGGCAACCCACATGAAAATTATCAACAGGTATGTGTTACAACATGTGGGTTTATTAATACAATTAAAATCCCCAAAACTCACGTGAATCCATTTTCTGCAAGTCGATATTGCATCTGATGAGAGACTTCAGTAACAAAGACATTTTTGAAGTGACTGGCCATTTTCTTTGTAACCATCCCATCTCCAGCACCTGATGGCAAAAAACAATTGGGAAAATATAAACATATTTGTAAGAAAGTAAAGCCCTTTTTAGAGTCAACTTGCATCAACCTCATGTCCCAACAATTTTCTTTCTGTCTTAAAAAGAAAATCTTTGTCTGGAAGATTAAATTTAAGATTAGAAAGAGTGTCACATAACAAAAGACCAAAATATGTAGTAAAGGCTATGTGTATCGGTATATATCCAAGTGTCTTTTGGTCATTTGGTATAAACCAACAATGCCATCAAATGCATTATGATGAAATTTCTCTGATGCATTAGATTGCAATTTGTGATCTGAGCAGATGAAATAAGTTTAGCTATCAGGTAGCAACAAATTAAAAGTCTCATCACATCAGAGAAGTGTGTGCAAAAAAAAAAAAAAAAAAACAAAAGGTCAGAGTTCACTGTAAGAATCTCAGAGAAGACATCAAATGTTAGTAGATGTATTGTCAGGTCAACATGGATTTTGTCTAATGAAACCTGGATATGCATTTCTTATATAAGGATGTAATGAAATGTTTTTTTACTTCAGAATTTAAGGACATAAAAACAGAAAATAATTGGCATTGATATTTTTTTAAATTTTACTGTAAGTCAAAAAAGGTATTTTTTGTGTTAAACAGATGCAATAAGAAATTATGATAAATAGGAAACAATTTTTCTCAATTTTTGCCAATTCTAGTTTAACATATTTTTACAATGTTCCAAAAACCTTGAACAAAAATTTAAGTTAATTTACAAAACTAGAAAATTATACAAAATGGAAAATAAGATGAAAATGATGGAAAAATAAAAGGAAATTAAGTGTGAATTAAATTTTGTGATAAGAACTCAAGGGTAAATGACACTGAAATTGTTCAAGAAATACTGATTTAAACGTGTTTGAATTAGATGAAAAGAAGGAAAAACTTACCTAAGTCTATTAAATTCTCACTCAGCCAGAAATCATCAATGCCTAATAATTTTTGAAATTGTGCCTGAGAATAAACAAACATGGAGCCTCTTTTCAAGTAACTGAAAAAAGAAAATGTTAGCAAAAACAACAAAAGTCTCATCATTGCAAAATAGAAAAACTAAACATCAACACAAAAAAGATTTTTCAGTTTTCAATAAAATTCTTGCGTTTCACTTGAAAATTTCTAATTGATGTTATAACTAATAGAACACTGCATCGGTCAAATTGGAATAAAAAAATAGTTTTCTAAAAAATTAGTTTTTATAATTTGATTATTTAAAACGATTTATCTTTTTGCCTTTCTAAAATATAGCATTTTACTTACTGGTTACTTTTTAATGTCATTTTCATAGATTTAGGACTTAACCTTTAGTCATCTGCATTATTAATATGACTTCCCTTTCCACTGCATTCTTTTCCAAGGCCTCTCAATTGCAGTATCATTATTGCTAATTTCACTTAAAGGTGTTTTCTGTTGACATAGCAGGATATGACAACACAACTATGAAATTCAAACCAATTCAAATTCAGGAATCAGAGTCACCTTCAGTGGCAAGATAAACTTTTTATAAAGCAAATGAAGTCACATACAGAATGATAAAGGTTAAAAAATATCTGTTGAAATTCACATCTGAGGTTAAGCAAGTGAAAATATTCAGGCAGAGTATCAGATCTGAAGGTTGTATGAACAAAGTAGTGTATAGACTTTAGATTTCATATCATTACAGATTCACTAATTTCTAAAAATTCTATCCAAATGTTTGATTAATCTAAATGAAGCACATCAAATATTAACCTGTTGAATCTGTAAAACTGGTTTAAAAGAACAAAAACCCTGCCATTTAATCATCAAAAAGAATTACAGTTTACCATGTCAGCAAAACAAAGTTGTTCATATGATCAACTTTGTACTAGCCATTTGCTGCTCAGCTTTCTACATGGGGAATTCTGGAAAAGTGAAATTTACCCAAAATGTTCAGGAACAGAGTCTTAGCATTGGTGGTTTCCTTTCAACAGCCTAAAGCACCATTGATTTATTTGAGAAAATTTGCTGTGACTAACATGAGATCTATTGAAATATATGTAGTTTACCAATCTAAAGCTACATACGACAAATCTAGACCCAGAGTCATGACTGCCTGAAAAGTTGTTCGAATTCAATTGCTCCTCAGACGCAATAAAGAATATGTTATTCTATCAATGCCCACTTTAATGTTAAGCATCACAACCAAACTCAGCAATGCTAATATTAACTGTTTCCTTATAAAGAAACATTTGGCATGCATTAAACTGATGTGTGAATGACTTTCTATATTTATAAATATCTTACATTGATTATGGCTATTATTTTTCTCCTTTTGTCTTAATTTCATTCAGCCAAAAGACTGATATGTGAATGGCTTGCTACCAAAATGTTTAAACAGATCTCCACAATAAATTGGAATGTTATCATCCAATTCACTAATGATCCTATCAATTGTTTATTGACAGTCTAAAAAATTAATGTTTTACACATTTTCTCATTTAGAAAACCTAATCTATTACAAAGAATTGCATAAACTCAGATCTTGTTTTCTTTTTGTAAAGAATGTTCACTGTAGTATATTTTATTCCTTCAATGAATTTATTTTAAGTAATGCATATAAATTGTTCATTCAAAAGCAGATTGAGATTTGTATTAACAAAACAAAAAAAAAAAGAAAAAAAGTAATTAAGATTAGTTTGTCAATAAAAACAGGGGAATGGTGCCAGACCCATTCAGAAATGTCTAGACTATATACAATTGCTTTCTCAGATTAATGATTAAAAGTGGCACCCAGTGAATAAAATCTGTAGGTCTTAGAGAAGACAAACTTTCTTTGAACATTATTGACTGGTGATATGATAGAATCACAAACAAAAAACTATCGGAAGTCATATCACAACAGCAACACCTAAAATGGATAGCACATATAACTCAAAATGAAAATAATGACATGCTGATGTTCCACACTATTTCAAACTAAAAGGTTAGGATTGAAACCCCCATCAATACTGGAAAGAATGATAACAGTGAACTTGAGAAACCTGAAAAACTTTTCTTTTTTTTAAGAGAAAGATTTTTAAAATTTCAAACTACAATAGCACTGGCTATATATATATATATATATATATATAAAGAAATATAGTCTTAAGGTGTGCTATATTTATAGAATAAAGTGCTCAATATCAGAGAGCGTGTGTAAATATAAAAGTGAACATAGAAGTCAACACTTAGAGGTGACACTCTGTTTCATGCTATATGCAATCGTCAGGCTGTGGCCTGACGATTGCATATAGCATGAAACAGAGTGTCGCCTAAGTGTTGACTTCTATGTTCACTTTTATATAAGTGTAGGAGAACATTAAAACTAAAATGTACAATTTTGTAGTGGATATGTGCATGTTTTAATGTAACACTGCATAAGATAAATATATATATATAAATGCACAAAGCCAGGTTCTATTTTCAATTTTTTAAGAAAAGCACATTCTCTTCACTCGGGTTATTTTTCTTAAGAGCACATATCTGCTCAGTTTCATATCTGAAATGTAAACAAGTCAATTTCTAAAGAATTAAAGGATTTGTTTTTAATCTGACATTTTTATAATGGATTCTACATATTTGAAATAGACGTCCCATTTTTATATATTAAAGTATATTACATCTATTGGTCTGTGTATTTGAGAGGGGAAACTACCATTTGATCTGGCATGCTTTAACGCTCAGCCACAAAGAATATCACAATAAACAAGACTATTTTCTATTTTTAAGGAAAGCACATCCTCTTTACTCAGATTATTTCTCTCTCTCTCTCATTATATTTATAATGATTGATATTTGTGATTAATATTTACCATTGAATTAAGTGCATTGACAAGGAAGGAAAGTATCTTGAAAAATATTTGCAATATAAAAGAAATGTATTTTTCGTTAGGCTAACAACTTATTAATTTAACTCTTATTTAAGACAATTTAGTACTAATATTATAAAATAACAAATCTAATATGAAACAAGTAAAAAAAAAAAAAAAAAGTGCAATCTCTTTGGTACTTACCCATTTATTGAAGTGTTTGACATAAACCAACTAAGAAGTGATCGGGCTAAAGCATTCCAAATTTGAGTGAAAATCCAATCAGCTTTTTCATAGCAGATTTCCAAAAATTCTTCAGTCTCATCGTCCTGGTACAATTGGTAAAACTTTAAATGTAAATCATCAGGAATCCTGTTTAAGTCGATTTCGTACCACTGTGAAAAAAGAAACAAAAAATTCAAATTCAATTCAAAAATTATTTCTTGCACACAATTCAAAGCAAATTAAAAAAAAAAAATGTACAAAATTTGTAGAAATTTTTTTCTACTGGTATCTATCAAACGATGGTAGTATGTATTTATGTAAGGTGGGAGTGCTGAAAAGTTATCAGCTCAACCAAGAAAAGAAATCTGATGTTTGGTCAAATTTGGGAAAGTGGGTCAGGCTGAGAAGTTTTTATTAGCCACCCCCTCATAAAAAATAATGATTTTCAAAAATATTTCTGTTTAGTTTTCCTTCTTTTCTTTTTTGTATTATTTATTTATTTTAATTCTTCAGCTAAAAACTAATTTTGAGAAAGATCGTTACTGGGTCCATTGCATGGTAGGAGTTTTGAAAGTCACAAAGAAAACATTTAGAATTTGTCTTAGATAAAATTCTCTTTACAATAGCAATATAATTGTATATATTTTCACACTTAAGTCTAAATTGTAGGTATTTTCCACAGGTGTCAATGATCAATTTTCAAACGGCAGGATTTAGTATCATGATTTTCCAGAGTAGCATTCTCCATTTAAAGATGGAACCCAATTTCCTACCTTCCACTAAAGAAAATTTGTTTTGTAAAGTAAAATCCATGTATGAACATTGAATAATAGCCACTATTTTCACATTAGAAGAAGAAACTATCTTTGCTCGTAAATAGGCTGTGATTTGATCAATTGAAGACACTTTTCTATAAAATACAATTTGGTTTGCTTTGTTTGAATATGATATTTATTTTGAAAATGGTTCATTTTTGAGAAAAAGAATAACCAATGTTCAATTTAACATGTGAATTGAAAAGAAAACTGAATACATATAAATATGGCTATAAACATGGAATCTATTTCTGTGCCACTGTTATTAAAAAGAAATGAAGTATTTTATATTCAAAATAAATATTGATTTGAATGGATGTTTTGCCATTTTTATTCTTATTTTATTTTATATCTGTCCTTATTGCAATTGGACTTTGCCTTCCCCACTACGCAATCACATTTGCATAAAACAGAACAAAAATAGGGGTTCAGTTTTACATTCAATTTGCACATCACATTAGTGGTCATAAGTATGAACACACAAAGTCAGGCCTAGTTTAGTATTATACTAGGTACCACCAAAGATGCATTTTTTCTGAAAAAAAGAAAGAAAATAATTTGTTTTTTTTAAACATGAATACTAATTTATTGATTGCTGGTGATCGTCTGTATTTCTTTAGTTTTTTTTTTTTTTATTTATCCTGTGGGTGAGGATTAAAGCTTTTGGGTTTTGTTTGACCTACAGGTTACCATGCATAAATAAATGTTATTTTCATTAAGTAAAAAGTAAACATTACTTTTACAAAATCCATTTAAATAATCTTTAAATTTACTAAATGACTCCAAAACAAATGAATTTTTTTTTAACCATTTCATTGAATTTTACTTTATTAAAAAATCTTCCAACAATAAAAAAAAAATACTTTTCTGAAAGATTATTTGAGGAATATTAGCTGATTCAAAGTATAATTAAACTGATTTAAAACAAACAGTAGCGTGATTTACAAAGTGTTGACACTTATTATTGTTCTACGGAGACTTTATCTGTTAAAACATAATTTAAGAAGATGATGGGTGAACACATTTTGATATAATTTTTAAGTATTCAGTAATCTTAAAAATGTTGAAAATATTTTCCATAATCTAATTTTAGGAATGTTGACTTTAAATTTGCTATCATGATCGATCTTATTTTTTGATAATGTTGTGTATGGTCACACATACTTTCAAAATTGGCAAGTGTATACACATAATTTTTCTTTTTTTAATTTATTTTAAAAATATTTGGCATGATGATTTGTATAAGCTTTTCAATTTTTGCTTAGTAAATATAGTCTTCACTTAATAACTTAATGACCTAACAAAGACAAAATTTGGAAGAATTGTTGAAACTTTAGAAATTATTATCATTAGAAAAATAAAAACAATTCTTGTAAAAATTCATTATTCATAAAAAAATCTTTTTCTTCAGACTATAATGTTCTTATATTATTTATAGAAGCAATTAAAAGCTTATCTAATTAAATAATTAGATTGCAGTTTTTATTTTACGTTTTGGAGCAGATTTTAGGGAATCTGGTAAAAGTTTGAAAAAAAAAAAATGATGATTTACATTCCCCAAGGAATCCTGCTTTTAACTAAAAAAAAAAAAAAAAAAAAAAAAAAATGTAGGACGAATTTAATTTCCATGAAATTAAGTGTGTGTGTGTGTGGGTGGGGGGGTAACAGATGTAAATAATAATAATAATAATAATATTTACCAATATTTTCTGGGTAATTTGTTTTTTTAAGCCCCGTGCTAAATATGAAATAAAAATTGCCGAATATGCATATTTAGGTGTAAATTTACATGCTTTATTCGAAAATAACAAAAAGATTTTGATAAAATCTACTGTTTTGGAGTTATCGACAATAAAAGTTCGAACTCATTCGCGTCGCGGCAGCCATTACTGGCGTTGATTGCAGATATTTGCTGCGGAATAACTTTTTTTTTTCATTGCGCACGCAATGAGTCCTTAGTTGCGCAGTAATTCAGTCAAGTAAAAACCGTAAAAAGGCCGTTAATAATGTAATCTTCCGCGCAAATCTGATCAGCAGCGAATGTATGCAAACAATGCCAGTAATGGCTGCCGTGCTGTAACTAGACTTTTTTTTACCATACAAACACCTGTACCGATTGATTGAAAAACCTGACAACGGAAAATCCGATACGGCAAAGTTAAAGCGAGATAACCGAATTATGTCCTTTTTGTACATCCATTCCCAAAATAATCTATAACAGTTGTTAAAAGGAAAATATAATAAATTCCTTTTAAAAAAAGGTTCACACTCCAAAAATGACATTCTTTTAAATTCTACATTTTTTTAATCCTCAAGCATGTTTTTATTTAATAAACGAAAGTCTTGTAAGTAACAGGATGAATTTCAAAATCGCACTGAAAAATTACAAGTCTTTTTTTTTCTTTTTAAATAAAAAAATTAAAGATAAGTGCAGATTCTTTTTTTTTCTATTCAATCTAAAAGAAAATGAAAATGATTATTAAAGCTAAAGCACCAATTCACAAAGAAAATTATTCTTTGAGTTTTATTGAATTATTTTTTTATAAGATGCGGGCCGAATTTTCCGTCTCTTCACACTTGAAGTATTTTTTACTGAAATGCCTTCAGAATTTTTTTTTTTTTTTGGATATAACTGTAAAAAAAAAATAAAATAAAATAAAAATCGACGTCCCGCCCCCTTAAAAAGTACACACGCTATATGGAAAACGGGTGTGACGAAACACTTCCAGAAAAATATTTTTACAAAGTTTTTTTTAAAAAAAAAAAAATAATATTCAGTAAAACATTCACTCATATTTAACAGGAATAAGTATTGAAAATTTTGTTTGAATCAGATAATTTTCTGATTTTTGGCAAATATGTTAAACGCAGGTGGGGGGTGTTTTCGTTTCGGAAAAAAAAAATCTATTGGGTGTGGGGATTTCAGATTCGAAAGATTTTCTTTTTTTCGACAAAAGTCTTTCTTCAGTTAATCGAATCTTAACTCTTAAAAATAAAAAAAGAAAGGCTCAGAATATGGGGTTCGTTAGTTCAAAATATTTAAATGAAATGTAAGGGAGATAAATTGTTTAAACGTAACACTATCCATCATTTTTTTATGACGTGTTTTGGCTATTTTTTTTTTTTTTTAATAGAACAAAATTCGTTTGAAGAGTTTTCTCCCTTTAAAGACGACCATTACTTTTTAATGCCACGTGGTATTTGAAGTAAAAGAAAGAAATATTAGGCTTTGGATTTTAAACTTCTATTTCAAGAACATACAACCAATAACCAAACATTCTTCATTGATATGCAGTGAGATAATAGCTCAAATAACACGAAATCGGCAAATTATCAAATTTATTCTGTCTTAAACAATTGACAACTTTCTTGGAATTGTCTCCTTTTACATGACGTATCATCAGCAACGGTAAAAAATCGACATTGATTTTTCTATGATAGAAAGAAAAAAAAAAAAGTAATAACTTCAGGAGAAGGAAAATAATATAAATGACCCAATAATTAAATTTGCTTGATCGCCGATACAAGTCTTCAAATCAAATGAACAAGATGTCAATTGTATTTTTGACATTCTTTTTTTTTTTTTGTTATTTTAAGAAAAAGCAATGAAACGTTTTTGATGTGTGTAGAATTAATTTTAAATGCCAATACAAGCAAACTTATTTTGAATATTTTTTTCAAAAAAGATCTGAATAAGTAAAAAAAACATGAAACGAAACAGCTTTGTAATGTTTGACAAAAATTTAAAATAGACTGCGACGAAAAAACATCATGAAATAAATTACTTTTACCCCCCACTCCCCAATTTAAATTAGAAGACCGTTATTTTGGTAGTATAGAGTGGTCCGCTCATTAAAAATACGAAAAGAACATGTCGCATTTTAAAAAATAAAATCTATTCTTTCTTTACAAATTGTTTTGTTTATGTATGAGAAAATCTGAGCGAATGAATGTGGTTTCAAGGCAAAGAGAATTTTGCTTGATTGTGAAGCTCTTTGTAGCTGAGCAGTTAAAAGTACTCCAGGTCAAACAGTACTTTCTCCTGTAAAAGAGGATGCAGATTTGAATCCTGCCAAAGGGCACATTTTCTTTAATAACATTTTAGTGTGCAGGCTAGTAACAAAATCAATACTGTTTAAGATAGAGCATCTATTCAAATATGGGTATCCACTAAAAATAATGCCGGAATCTGGGTAAAATGAGAACAAATGGAATATAATTCCACTGTTGTAACATTTGATTTAAAAGAGGGCTCAATACAGAGTAGAGCTAAATATTATTGTAGCAATTTTTAACGTTTTTTTTTTTAATATCGTAAAATAAATAATATATATATTGTTGTATGAGAGTAAGTGTCATTGCTAACACTGTGGTTTGAAACTAGATCGCCAGTGAGTATCACGGATGATTCCATTATTAAGTAGATCATATGATCATAAAGGAAGTGAATAAATACGAAGTAGCGTAAGATTCACTGATCACTATTCCTCCTCTATACGCTACGTATCACTGTTCATTCCTTCTTGTCTATCCACTATTGTTATATGTTCACACACTCTACTTTAGTACTATACAGATTAAGATTCTCTTCTCTACTGATCATTGTGCTATTTGGCTACTTGAACCAGTATTGCTAGTGCAGATATTATTGGAAGGTGTTACTACTAGTACCGGTGTCTACAAAGTCACAAATATGACAAGCATTGTTGGAAGTGATAATGGGCTTTCACTTGACATAGCAAAAGTGACAAGCAAAGTCGTCCAACATCAAAATCAAAGAATTTGTGATTCAGAGGAGATAAGCATATCTATATGAGAAAATTAATAAAATTTTTCCAATTCTTTCCAATTTTTTTTTTATTTATGGCCCCAGAAGACAAAAGAAGTACTAATGGAGCTGATTAGTATACATGATAAAATATAGTTTTAAGGTATGCTATATTTATGGGTAAAAGTGCACAATTTCAGGGATAGAGCATATGTAAATATAAAAGTGGGTTTTGAGGTCAACACCCAGCAGCAACAATCTGTTTCATGCTTAAATGCTATCATCATATCATGACTTGACGATTGTGTTTATGTATGAAACAGACTGTCAGTGCTGGTGTTTATATATATATATATATATATATATATATATACACACACACACACACACACACACAACTATAATCAAATTTCAGCTCTAACATTTTTGCAACCTCTGCAAGGGGTGCTGTTCCTTGTCTTGTATGTGGAATGCTGAGTGAGTTTCAAGTTGGGCTTAAAAATCACTGAAGACATAAACACAAGTAGGGGGGAAACATGCTTTTGAACACTCATATTTCAAAAACAACAGGAGAGTCCATCACATGTATGTATTGCTAATAGCCCCTGATGAGTGGACAGACAGGTCTGTCTATGAAACTCTGGAGTCAGGATGCTAAAAGGTAACATCAATCAGCTAAGATTCAAACAATAATAAATAAAAATTTAATTATAAACCTAACCTCCTAAAATTAATACTTAAGATACCACCAAATCAAATATGAAAATGAAATAATAACCAGTGAAGACATAAAAATATTTATTATTTAAGCATTAATATTAGTTAATGTAAAAAATGAAATACAACTTTCCTAACCTAAGAAAAGACTAGAATGCTCAAAAATTAAAAGTAATAATATGTCTAGAGAAAAAAAAATGGAAATAAATGGCTACAATTGAAAGGAAAGAGGAAAAAGAAAAAAAATAGCTAAAGGTGTGTAAAGTGGGGAAAAAAAAAAAAATGAAGAAAATTAGAAATAATCACGACACCCTAACAGGCACATGCACGCAAACACATATTCAAACAGCCATACATATGGAGAAAAAACTTTACACCAATGATAAAGGGGGGAGTGAGAAATATAAACAGTCAATTGCTGATACTCACCAAAGAGCGGATGGATGGTTACATCTACAAAACTCTATAATGTGTGTGTGTAAACAGTTTTCACAGACATAAGTACCCAGCCATATGTAAATAAAATAATTATTGTCGAAAGGGACTAAGGACTAAATTACAAATGAATCAGCTTAAAACTTCTGACTGTATAACTGAAACTTTGTTTGCGAGCCATCCAGAAAAGATGTATTCACATTAAACCAAATGAGTTACACTTGTGACCTTGTTCCATACTAATCTAAGCCCAATAAATATCAACAGACAAGACTTTGAATAAGTGATATAAAGATTTCAATACAAAATGGCCCACAATTTACAAATGCTGCAACAGATGTCAGTAATGCTGCATAGAGGTTTTAGAGGACTAAAAAGTAACTGATGACATTTTCTATCAATGCTTTCAGATTAAATAGATTTTGCTTTTCTTTTTTAAGAAGAAAATTTTAATTTTCACCTGGCCACATATTGTGTAAACATTTTTTTTTAAATTTCAAGAGTTTCACTCATGTTTTCTGTGGGTGTTGAAAACAAAACAAATAAATGGGCAAGCTTGAAAATAAGCAACCATGTAGAAAATGAGAAATCATTGATTTTCAGTGTACCTTCAGAAGTCAAAACAGCTCTGATGAGGATGAATCCTGTTTTCTAAAGTTCTGAGATTAAGTGGGGGTTAATTATATTTGTTTTTTTTGTTGCTTTTAAATTTAACACAATATATTTTGACCAATGTTTTCAAGACTTGAAATTCTAATTTCTTGTGGGAAGAGGAACTTCAGAAGAATAAAAAAATAAATGTTATCATCTATTTTCGAAGGTTTCATTAAATTTACCAAAACTGTTTCACAGAAACTTATAAAACCAATAAAAAAGTATTAGTAAAGAAGTCAGTTTTGAAGTTTATGTAACACATTCCCAAATATAAAAAGAGTTTTCATTAAAGCAATTTACAAACAATGACAGGAGTTGAAAATCCCAAGAGGAAATCACTTTTTATGGTTCTAGCTAGAGAAAGACATAAAGATTATTTTTCCACTAAAATAATCTTTCAACAACAATCATTGCTGACAATGACTTATTTCTAATACAGGAGTTTATCTGTCTATATTTCTGAGATGAGGTATTATGTACATTATTTACATTATTCGGACTATTGTCCTCATCTTTGTTACCATATTTATTACAATGTTTTGGCCGTTGTACGCTCCGGCCTTCTTCAAGTGGTTGGAATTTCGAACTGAACCCTTTATTTCGCTCACTGGGGTAGACTGTTCTAGTTCCACGTGCAATATTTAATGGATGTCAGTTATCTCATGTTAATTTCCCTCTGAAAGTTCTCTACTGCCTTAACCATGTATTGAACTCACATTCTTAGGGTCCTGTCACTGGATCTAACCAGAAAAAGTTAAGAAAATATGAAAATGGCAGGGGTGGGTAAACATTATTACAGAAAAAAAAACACAATCTAAAATCTGTAGCAGCGGCAGATGAAACAAGTATTTTTAGTAGCAACTACCCAAATATTTTTTTTAAAAAAAAGATTGTATCCACTATATTCCGAATCTGAGGCGAGGAAATTCTCAAAATAAATAAAAAAACAAAGAACGGATTACAATACATGATGTACATCCTAATGTCTGCGGCTTCACGTCTATATTTTATTTACGAAACGCCACGTTGCGTCTTGCCACTTTTTTTAATCTTAGTCATGAATCTTTTCAACTTCATTTTTTGTGAATAGCAATTTAAAAAAATTGACCCTTTTTTTTTTGCACCACTCTTTCTTGTGATTGGCGGGTGGCTTCCCTGCCCTGAAAATCAGCAATCGAAATCATGATTTCTTTTTTTTTTTTTTTTAAACCAAGTCTCGAATACTGACCACAAAGAAAAGAAACAAAAAGAATAATTAAATTCTTTCTCTGCACAGACACAGTTTGGTTTGGTTTTCTTTTTGTCAGGTGTGGATAAAAAAAAAAAAAACGAGTGGAACTTCAATTTAAGTTTGGCAGAATCAGATACTGTTGTTGAGCTCTACTTTTAAAAATCACAGGAAGGTTGATAAGTCAATAAACAAGAACAAGACGGTCCATTTGTCGCCACATATACATGATATGAAGAAGAATGGATTTTATTTTTACAAGTAGAAGAAATAAAAAAGCAACTGTGTTTTGTTTACTCAACTGTTTTTATTACTTTAAATTTTTTGCTCAAGTTTAAAAAGCCAATTTTTAATGAATGTCATCGACTCAGCAGAAGGAAACCATCTGAATCACTTTTCTTTTTTCTTTTTTTTTTTTGAATAATGGGATTTTAAAATGATTATCATTCGTTTGTTCATAACAATAACCCCCCCACACACACACACACAAAAAAAGTAGATTAAATTAAATTTCTTTAATTTAATTTAATTACTTTAAAAATAATTTTTCCCCTTACCACAAAAAAGTCGAATTAATTAAAGGAAATAAAAATATATTCAAAATTATTCTTAACAAAATAGAGTTAATTAAATAGAAATTAAAAAAGCCGATAACTTTTTTTCATGCGTTAATTAATTAAAAATCAAAACAAAAAACACAAACCGACTTAGACGTACATATGTGTGTTTGCTATTTCGATGTTTTTCATCATCCTTCAGCCGGATGTAAACAGTCCGCATGAGACGAGACCGTGCGTAAGGATAACTGAGCGTGCTGGTCATGTTACATTCTGAGACGGTCACTAATTTCAAAAGCAGGATATAAGCGATGAATGCGACGAGGACAACCAACAGCCGGTCATTTGGAAGCCATTGTGTCAACATAGTATGAAAAAGAAAGTATGAAGGGAGGGAAGTGCAGACTTCAAAACGAGGCTCGCACTAAGCTGTTGCCATATGTAGAGGGGCATGGAGAATAATATCGGGGCATATATGTTCTATTGTAACGCCGAAATAGTTTTAAACAAGTATTTTTTTTACCGGTGTAGATGAAATGAATGCTATTTTTTCAATTCAGATAAAAAAAAAAACATTTCAGCTTAGAAGAGAAGGAGAATAAAATACATTTCGTATCTCATGGACTTTCTAAAAAAAAAAAATCGCATTTTCTGTGGAGTTAAATTTTTTTTTTAAGAATTGTCTAAGAAATTTTTAACCTGTAAAAAAAAAAATAGTTTGATGTAGTTAAATAAAATTTTAGAAATCTTTAAACTAAAAAAAGTAAAAATAATCTCACTTCTACCCTGTTTCATTATTAGCCAATTCGATGGATGACAACAAAAGAGAAAATAAAACAATTTAAAAAAATCTCTTTAAAATTCAATGTTTTCTTGACATTTGTTTCAAAGTAAAATTTCCCCAGCATGGTATGTCTTTGCTCGCCAACACATTCAAAGGTCAGATAATAGTTCTCTTATAACCCTGCCCTCTACTTAAATAATCTCGCCAAAAACCAAATGCAGAAAACCAAACTTATCATTATCAAGAAGAAAAAAACTTATGAATATTTAATCTTTATGAAACTGAACAAACAATTTTTAATTTCTCACATTATATAAAGGAATATAAAAAAGAGAAATGAGGAAAAAATTATTAAAAATAGTTAAGTGATACATTTTTATTCATTATGTTTTTTTTTGACAATTTTATTAACTGTTGATGTGAAAATATTGCATTTGCACCCAAAGAGGTCTTTTTAATTATTTTCACACGACAATTTATTAAAAGAAAAATAAACTAGAAAACATGATAAAGAAGTTATTGAATTGATCGTTAATTTAACTTTGCTTTTTTTATTCATTTTCACGGGTATTATTGTCAAAAGCATTTATGAGACTTCTGTTAAGACATATCTCGGCTGATTTACAGGCAAATACTCAAGAGCGAGAACCGGATGTGAACGGGACAAAGCCCCGTCAGAAAATGACCATTATCTTTCTTCACAAATGTTTCCGACACACGTGTTCCGGTCGAAAAATAAAATAATATTTAAAGTGCTCTATTTTTCGTCCAATAAAAATGCTTCCCTCCTAATTATACTCGCTTCATTTCTCGAGCCTGTTAAGCCATAAAAATCGCTATAAAAGGGGTCACACGGAAGTTCAACAGTCAGTCAACAGGTGGCCACAAAGGAGACCGGTCACGTTTAGCAGCTGTCAGCAGGAGAGCGTCAACCACCGTCAACATGTGTGAACTACTATGAGAGATCGACCTAGATCCGAAAGCCGGCTTATGAACTTTACCACACCAAGGTAGCTGTCCTAAAACCCTTACGTTCCTGTTGAAATAAACTACGTAAATCTATTTCTACTGTTGTTGTATTTCTTTCTTGCAACCATACGCTTGTCTACAACACTTCCAAACACCATCTACACTTTAATATTAAAACCTACCTTCAGATTAAAAAAGTAGCAGTCAACAAAAGATTATCCAATTTTAATTAAAATTTCAGCATTTATTCATTAATTAATTATTTTTTATTATTATTGAAATGTTATTCTATGAGAAAATATTATGGGAATATTTTTCAGGTCTGTTAAAAATCCCTTCAGTTATTTCATGGTGTGACGATCTACATCACACACATACATACTTACACAAATACAAATCAAGCATTCATTGGATAATAAATCAACACTACTTTGTAACAGACAATTTACAAATCGCAGCAATGCAACAATTTTGTAATCGTTCTATTTTCATGTAGTCGATTTTGTGCACTTTTGGGAGAAACAGATCCCAGAAGCTTTCTTGAGTCTCCCCAAAACTTGCTCGCTGATTGGTCAATGCCAACCAATCAGATTGTCTGCACACGAAGAACAATTCTTCCCACGCAGCAATTCAGAGCTGATGATCACCTATATAAGCAAGAAATATTCTTAGATAATTAGTGAGATTTCAGCTGCCAAACGAATCCACGACAGTTGAAACCATGCGCCAACCTTCTCACTAATACCACCACTCACATCCTGAATATTCCTTACACTCACATAATCTTTTCCTTACACAGCAAAACTGTTGAAAACATTTATTACCAGAAACTTTATCACAAACTTTCTTTCTTTCAGAGAACTTTGGAAGACAAAATAATAGTTAAAGAGAGACAACTCTTGTTTTACTCAATGCAAACCTTTCTTTTACATCCTTGTTCGTACATCTCGTTTAAAACATATTTTATGTGTAATGATGTCTTTGGCTTATCCTCTTTTTCTTCACATCAGTTTGGTTTCTTAATCTAAGTTAAATTAATGTGGTGAAGTCCACCACAATGGTACCCAAGTGATTTCCTTATTTTTATCATATTTCTTACATTATTATAATGACAACAAAAACTTTGTTAAACAGACAAAAATATTATGAGCATGAATAGATTAATCAAAACTTTCATTAATTTCAATAATTTTTGGTGGCCCTGAAAAAGGCCTTTTTTTTTCTTTATTAGGCCTTAGGTCATCTTCTTTATAGCAGTCATCAGGAATCACTGGTCAGGGGGACATAATTCATAATTTTATTTTTGATTATCATTTTTGATCTTCTGTAAAATAAAGTCAACAACAAAAAATAAATAAAATTATTTTTTAAAATGTTCACACTCGGGAATGGAATTAAATTTTACATTTTTTGATCCTTAAGATACATCTTTATTTTATATTGAGTTTTTCAGCAATGGCCAAGAACTGAGATATGTCAAGTTTTCACAAACAAATATACATTCCTTTTCCTGTGAACAATGGAAGTAGTCTTTTATCATTACTCAGTCACTATGTGGTCTTTTTCTTTTCTTATCAACAGCAGTGCTTGATGACAGCCTTTCACACAAATGGCCTGATCCTTTCTCAGCAGCAACAACTTTTATATTCCAAGTATAAACTAGCCCTGTCAGATTTGTGCAAGTCTATCATGCACGAACATACATACAAACAAAAATACAAATCACATACAATGTCAAGCATTCATTGGTTAATTAATCACCATTATGTTATTATAGGCAATTTACAAATCACAGCAATGCGACAATTTTGTAATCACTCTATTTTCATTTACATTAGTTGGATTATTGTCCTCATCTTTGTCGCCATATTTGTCACAACGTTTCGGCCGTTGTATGCTCCGGCCTTCTTCAGGTGGTTGGAATTTCGAACTGAACTCTTTATTTCGATCACTGGGGTAGACTGTTCTAGTTCCACGTGCCATGTTTGATGGATGTCAGTTATCAGTTATCTCCTGCTAATTTTCCCTCTGAAAGTTCTCCACTGCCTTAACTGGGTATTGAACTCACACTCTTTGGGTCTGTCACTGGATCTAACCAACGCCTTTATCCACTGTGCCATGTGTCCTTGAGGACATCTGAGTATGAAAGCTGTAACGCGAGGGGAAGTAGAAAAATCAGGCGTGGCTGACCACATATGGAGAGAGAAGGGAGATCACCGTCCCCTGTGGGATCATGTTGAGATCATAAACAGTGAACACAATTGGAAAATTCGTAAACTTAAGGAATCAGCACATATGCTAGGCCACAAAAATCTCCTGAGCCGACCAAGCATAGAAATAAATACAATATGGGAACCAGTAATAAGGAATGCCAGAGAAAAGTAATGATAACAAAGTTGCAATATGGGCTCTGGTAAAAACATGCAATGATAACAGCAAAAATTGCAATATGAGCACTGGTAAAAAATGATTGCTGAAAACATTAGGTTTATAAGATCCAGAAATTCATACCCAGTGGATAAAGGCATTGGTTAGATCCAGTGACAGACCCAAAGAGTAGTGTGAGTTCAATACCCGTTCAGAGGGAAAATTAGCAGGAGATAAGTGATAACTGACATCCATCAAACATGGATCGAAATAAAGGGTTCAGTTCGAAATTCCAACCACCTGAAGAAGACCGGAGTGTACAACGGCCAAAACGTTGTGACAAATATGGCGACAAAGATGAGGACAATAGTCTGACTAATGTAAATACTGTACATAATACCTCATCTCAGAAATATAGACAGACTCTCTATTTTCATGTAGTCAGTTTTGTGCACTTTTGGGAGAAAAGGATCACAGAAGCTTTCTTGAGTCTCCCCAAAACTTGCTCGCTGATTGGTCTATGCCAACCAATCAGATCGTCTGCACGTGAAGAATAATTCTTACCACACAGTGATCTGGAGCCTATAGTCACTTATTTAAGCAAGAATTTTTCTAAGCTAATTAATGAAAATTCAGCTGCCAAACGAATCCACAACAGTTGAAACCATGTGCCAACCTTTTCACTCATACACACCACTCACATGCTGAACATACCTTGTATACACTCACATAATCTTTTCTAACATGGCAAATCTTTTAAGAACAGTCATTATGAAAGACTCTCATGAACCTTATTCCAATGAACTTTGAAATACTAAAATAACAGGTAAAGAGATACAACTTTTGTTTATTCTTTTCTTACTTAAATGCATGCTTTCTTTCACATCATTGTTTGATATTGTACATCTTGTTAAATACATATTTTATGTGTAACAATGTCTTTGGATTATCCTTTTCTGCATTAGTCCTGTTTTCTAATCTAAAGTTAAATTAATGTGGTGAAGTCTGCCACAGATCTATACTTTTCTGCCTTTGCAGTCAAAATTTTCTCTTATATAGGAAACACATGGAACAAGACTCAAAAATAAATTCTTTAGGGGCCTATAATTTTATCCCAATTGTTTAGAATATTGAAAGTCACCAAT